TTGCCGTGCAACTACAAGCGTGAACATCCTCGCCCGGCACGCGTGCTCACAAACGTGAACATCCCTGCCCGGCTCCCATGTTCACGAGTGTAACATGAACCGCCTGCCTGCCTTCATGCGGAGTAAGAGCGCGTCTGATCGGCATACGAGAGCGGCAAATGCTAGCGGTATCCGATTACTGCATAGATCTTACATCGTGAGCATCCCTGCTGGGCGTCCGTACTCACAAATACAGATACGATGTACAAGGAAAAAAAGTGGGCAATGCTTAAACATATCTGAAAATCTGTGCGTTATTTATCGGTTATTCTAAGTGAAAACAAGCAACATCTGTTTTTATGTGTTGTACAATACAGTGTTGAAGACTACAGAGATCAAACTGCAGTGGGTTCCATATATATACTTCCGCTTTGCGCTGTGCTGCATATTAGGTACGGATTCATATGAGAATGAAAGAAACTAGTACTTCGTATAAACGTGGCCAGGTGTACAATGTAAATTCCCATGGTGCGTATATAAATCATGGCCGGTATACGGGTTACCTGCACCGTAATAAAACCATTCTACAACCAAATGATGTACATGGGGGGCTCAAAACCCTCTGTGCGCGCGACATCCGCTTGCTCAGATACAGAAAATGGAAGTTACTGTATAAGTAAAATTAAGTTGGCGGTTGTGTGCCGAAAACAGAATTTTACTTTGTCTTCTTGCGATTTTACCGCTGGGGATAAATATGTACAGAGATGATTCTGACGAGGCGCATACCCCAACTCTTGATTCTCTGATCAGCCTGTGCTTGGTATCGTTAGAATCCTTAGAAATTTAGCAATATTTTCCAAAAATCAACTTTTCCCCAGCTAAAGAACGGGGATTTAGAGATCTCGGAGAAACCAGCACATACATGATGGCGGGCTTCAATCAGAACGTCAGCATGCGCCATACGCATTTGTGCGCAGTACCTGCGACTAGTCTCGCTGCAGATCTGATGGTTCTGTATTGTGTTTTCTCGATAGCTGTCGCACCTTTTACCCTATCTCGCGGGCCATCGTCCAATGTTGCATTGATGCCGATGCAGCCAGTCGATGTGAGTGCGCGCAATGGGGTAAAAAGGTGCGATAGCTATCGACAAACACTGCTTTGTATTCTCGATTAAAGACGGTTGCGTAAGCACGCATCCGTAAATGGACGCCGTAGATCCTATTGCGGTCTGAACAGCCTCTGAACGGTCTCTAAATCCCAGTTCTTCAGCTGGGGAAAAGTTGATTTTTGGTAACGATTCCTAAATTTCTATGGATTCTAACGATACCAAGTACAGGCTGATCAGAGAATCAAGAGTTGGGGAATCCGCCTCGTGAATAAAAACTTGTTTCGTGGTACTTCCTTAATGATATTTTTTAAATTCATTTTTGAATGGGAAAAAGTGTTATGGGCCTAGTTGTTTAACCCAGTGTAGGCATACAAATCAGTTGGGTACTGCCTGACTGATTACATTGCAAATCAGTGTTTATTCGTGCGCGAAAGCGATCGAATGTCAATAGATTACTAGATATTAATATACATGCACTTACGAGTAGTACCACTGCCGGGACACTTACCTTAATTGTCTTTTCGGCGAAATTGTAGTATCAGCACCGGATACTCATCTTTACAATCCTTTTTTTAAATGTGGTGTCTCAGTCATTTCTCAGGAAAATCTACATGTACCCTGCATGATTTCATTCGTGAGCATTTTCGCCCGTCAAAAATGCTCACAAGCATTTTCGCCCGTCAAATATGCTCACACCGTGAACCGTGAACATGTTAACATTCTTGCCGGCTACACACATGTACAAGTGCTGTTTACAAGTGTCAACTGAAAACATTGTAGTATATTAATTACCATAACGTCAGCAAAACATGTTGAAAAGCCTCCTCTTTTGTGGATACATGATTCGCAGCCCTCATAAAAACCAAATTTTATGCCAAATGATGCCTACCGTTGGTCACACAGAAGTTCGAAGTGCACTGGCTAACAGAAAATTATTTTCAATAATTTTTCGCTTTGTAACCTGTACGTACGCTGCGTAGCTTTCCGTTTCTGGCACCTAGTCACAAACACTTGCTACTTTCTTGAGAAAGCGGTAGTACATATTTACTTTGTTTCATAATTTATACATATAACAAGAAAGCAGAAATCTAAATTTAACACCATTTTGCGCTTCATGAAACTGAGCAGGTAAAAGAAGAAAACTTACAAAAACCATCGGGGTGAACCACGAGGAAGGACGTCAGGGATCGTCAGTAATGTAATCTTTTGGCGATCCCTAGCAATTTGTTAGTAGTAACAGTTTCTCAAAGTTATACTTGGCTTTTATACTTGGCATGGCAAAGTTATACCTAGCTTTGTATGAACAAGGTACAGATTTACCCCCAAGCCCTCCGCCCACTAGTCGGAGACAACGCTGCAGCGAAGAGGATCTTGTTCGGCAAGTTGGTCAGAAGATCGATGATGGATCCATCTCCGGCGCTATGCGAGTGTTGTTGTCCACAGATTCAGTGGCCGTCTGCACACCCGAAGTTCTCCAAAATTTGCGCGAGAAACACCCTTTAAGCCCCCCACCGTCTCGGCTCGCCACGCCACTTCTGCTGTCGCTGCGCCTATAATAACTTCTGCAGAAGTGTTCGCTGCCATCCACACTTTCCCACGAGGCTCAGCTGCAGGTCCAGACGGTTTAAGGCCTCAACATTTGCTGGACTTTATGGGCTCAAAGCTAGATGACCAAAGCGGACCCTTTTGCGAACCCGTTGCCTCTGTGTTGACGCTGGTTCAGCAAGGTAAAATTCCCGCTGTTATACGGCCGATCTTCTTTGGTGGTAAATTACTGGCGCTGCGGAAGAAGGACGGTGGGCTGCACCCGATAGCAAGTAGGGCTGTCACTACGTCGTCTAATCGCCAAAATCGTGTGCACTAGGATGGCGGACCGGGCAACCGCTTTGCTCACTCCTCACCAGTCTGGTTTTAACGTCCGGGGCGGGCTGAAGCCATCGTTCACGCCACCAGGCATTTCATCCAGTCCTCACCGGAGAGCATTAAAGCACTCGTGAAGATCGATTTTCGCAATGCTTTCAATACTGTATCCCGAGAAGTGATTTTAGATGCGGTGCATCAACATTTCCCCGAATACGACGAATACTATTGGTCAGCGTATGGGCATCATTCTTCTTTGTTCATCGATCAGACGGTGCTTTCGTCCGAGTCTGGAGTACAACAAGGCGACCCATTGGGCCCACTGCTGTTTTGCCTGGCATTGCTTCGTGTTATCGCTACCCTGGATACTGTGCTCAACGCTTGGTACCTTGATGACGGAACCCTGCGGAGCGCCGGCGACACTAGCAGAAAATTTTGGACGGGTTATCACAGGCGCACGCTCCACTGGATTGGAGATTAATGAGGCTAAATGTGAACACTTTGTATGGGGAGGCTCAGAGAGTGAACGGCAGGAAGTCATCGATGATTTCGTTTCACATCATCCCCAGCCCCGTGTTGTGTCCAGTACGACTTTAACCTTGCTCGGTGCCCCGGTTCTAGACGATGCGATTGAAGACTCATTGCAAGCGAAATCAAGTGCAATAGGGAGAGCTTGTGAGCGCCTGCAACTTCTTCCTCGCCATCATGCACTATATTTGCTCAGACACTGCTTGGGTGCCCTGAAAATAATATATGTGCTTAGATGTTGCAATGCTTGGAAGCATCCACATCTGCTGTATCAAATTGATGAGTCATTGCCCTCCTGTTTCCAAGAACTCAGTAACGTGCGGGTGAACCACGACGACTACCCGTGTTGGAGGCAAGCGACCCTTCCAGTCAGTCGAGGAGGTATCGGCATACGACGAGCGGAGGAATTATCACTTCCAGCCGTTTTGGCTTCGATTCACTCCGTATCGTGTTTGTTATCGTCGATGCTTCCTCACCTACCGGCAGTGGACGCTTCCGAAGCAATTGAATGTGGAAAGGTAAAGCCCGACAACCGGAAATGCCCGAAGTTGCCTTCCGAAAGCTTCAGAAAACCTGGGACTTACCGCTGTGTAATGTGTCAGTTTCAGTTTTACTGGACTTGTTTCGCGGCGACAGCGTCAACACAGCCCGTCTCCTTGCACAGTCCAGACCGGAAGCCGGTATTTGGCTGAATGCGCTTCCTTCGGCCCACATCGGCAACCTGCTCGACGACGAAACGATGAAAATTTCGATTGGCCTGCGTCTGGGAGCGGATATCTGCGAGCCACATAACTGCACCAAATGTGACAAACATGTTGACAAGTTGGGCCGCCACGGTTTATCATGCACCTACTCGGCCGGTAGGCATGCGCGCCATGGAGGGCATAACAGTATTTTGTGCCGCGCTTGTGTTTCAGCTGGTGTCCCTGCTAAGCTCGAACCACGCGGCATGTCCTCCACAACAGATCAACGACCTGACGGCTGTACAACTTTCGCCTGGAAAAGAGGAGTGTGTCTGGCCTGGGATGTGACGTGCGTCGACACAATGGCCCTTTCCCATCTTCCGTCTACGTCGATTACGGCAGGTGCTGCTGCTGTACAAGCAGAAGAAAAGAAGTCCCGACTGTACGCCTATCTGCAAGGGCGCTACATTTTTTCTCCGATCGCCTTCGAGACGATGGGTTCCTGGGGCCCGTCGGCTATCGCCATTGTGAAGGAGTTGGGCAAAAGACTTCAGGAGCACACAGGAGAGCGTCGATCACATGAGGATCTGCGTCAACGACTATCGTTGGAGATTCAGCGCGGAAATGCAGCATCTATCCTTGGCACGATGGACGGAGTGGATAGTTTAAACGAAGTTTTGCTGTTGTGATTAATATAGCGTGTTTCTTTCTTTATTACCATAACTGTGCGATGATTATTAAGTTATACTTGTTTTCATTCCTCCTTGAAGGGCATAAGTAACAGTATGGGTAATTTTAGTTGAAGGCGCTTAAAGTGGGAGATATAGCATTAGAAAACTTACATAATTTTGGGAGGCTTTTTGTGTAGATTTGGCCGCCGCACAGCAAACGTCGTTTAATTCAACTAGCCAGTATGGATGGATGTCGGCTTATTGCGGAAGCGGGAAGTAACGTTATCCATAGACACGGGAGGTGACGTTATGCGACAGAGCATTTTTTTCTGTCGGTTGGTTCGGCAATTTCGGATTTTGACCGGCAAGAATGTGCCCCGGTACCTGGTACATGCTAGTTCAGTGCTGGTTCAGTGGCGGTTCACCCGGGCCGCATATATTAGTTTGTTACGTTAGCTGTCCTGCACACGAAAAAAATTCATGTTGAGATTAATTAATTAGCCATCTTTGTTTTACAGTGCATGAATCACGTTTGTAAGTGATTGAAAACAGCTCTGTTTATGATGACACCGTACTGCAAGTTTGCCTTATTAAAAGCGACCTACTCTTGCTTTTCCCAGTTAGGAGAGATTGTATAGTGCGCTGAGCTTTCTCAACGGTTCCTGATTTTTGAATACTTCTGCACCTTTCTACGGTAATTTGTCGACATGCTTGCGCGCTGCATGACACCGGAGAGCCCCGCTGCGCCGACCAAAACGTCCTTGCAGTGTTAGCCCTTCTCTTTCCGTTTGTTTCCATGCGCCTGACGGCTCTACGTTACTCTTGCTTGGGGTTGATGAGTGCGTGGAGGATGGGATTTGGCAGCAAGACGTCGTCCGAGAGCGGCAGTCGTCCGCTCCATTGTCCTTGCCGTATCTATTCAGTAAATTTTAGCTCAGTTTGTATTGGATATTATTTCTGTCTGCCACATGGTGCTGCATACGAACCCACCAATTGGCTTTTTCACAGCGGCACAATATTGCCACACGCTGTATATGCTACAGATGCTGTTTGATCCTCTTATGTGGGTTATTAGCCTGCGGCCAGTAGGACAAAGGCGATGAAAGGCGATCGAATTTGTCGAATCGGGTGTCCCAGAATTCTCCGAGTGTCTCCCAGAATCGGGTGTCTATAAAACATCGGTATTTTTATGATATTAAACATGTACTCGCACTGCGTACATAAACAAGTAATTCAGTTATTCTGATCTTTTAGACATTACGGGACATCATGCAGCCAACGCAGAAATTTTCGCTATATATACGCAATCTTAAATTTAAAATGTACGTGATTTTGAAAAAAAAACAGAATGTTTATTCCTGACGTGAATTTTCGAGTAGCAGGCATTGCCAGGCAACACAAGAGAGCTATCGCCGCACTCATCGAAAACGGCTATGCATTCTGCAATAGTGTCAGGTGCAACTCCACAGAGTCGTTGCCAGGCATGATGCCCTTGCTCCCTGATTGCTTGTGGGACATCCGCTCGATGCCGGATAGCACCGGACATTCGGCAAACAGTATCCATGGGTCCGGTAGACCGCATTTATATTTCGTTATAAGAAAGCGTTAGGGAGCCTTTTTTCGGGAGGACTAACAGTGGCACTTGGCTTTCCCGATCGTAATGTACAGGAACGACGCGATGTGGTCGTATTATAAAAGCATCTGCCGGCTCACTGGTTGCTGACACATCCGTTATTCCACAAACCACTGATAAAATGAAATTGCACGGAATAATTGGCGGCAGTAGCCTAGTTATTGATCCATACAGAATCCAGTATGGTGGTATGTCAAATACTGATTGCAAGCGTGACCGATACAACAATGAGGCGATTAATGGCTTACGGCCGGAAAGGCGTATAAATTCACTGTAATATCATCATGCTCCACGGTGGAGCATGATGATATTACAGTGAATTAAAAACTTACCCCTATCGAAAACCTTAACAAATTCTCCTTTCATTCCGTCAGAATCGCTGTGTTATCTATTCAGGCGCTTTCTGAAATTAGCAGTTTGTGCATTTGTAAAACTCGTGCTTTTGCTTTCTCTATGGGTGTTCCTTGTTTTGGTTATACGAGGTATATTGACTCATTTAACTGGTTCTCACAAATATGGCTTAGTGCAATGCCGACATTCAGTGCGGTTCATGGTGTCTCATTTTGACAAGTTGAGAATCAGCGCATGATTGCTGCGGTGGTTTTTTAAACTCGGAAAATCTCTGAGGACTGAGGGCATTTTCAAACGTGGCTACAGAGGTAAAGAGACTGCGTCCATTACAGGTTGCTCTTTACAATTTAAAGAACATGGTTATCCGTGATCATCCGTCCGGCAGTCATGCTTGAATTTAGTCTGTAATTACTGTCGTTGAAGCCGTGCGAAGGCGTCAGGGGTGACTATCGTATCCGCATCCCCAGGTAAGCGTAAAAGTACCTTCTTTCGGTGCGCAGCGTTGTGTTGGAGCAGTTGGACTGACAATGATGCAAGAATGATGGCAGCATGACGATTCTACAAGTTTGTAGTCGTGCACTCGTCAAACGTCAGGACTCGTCAAACGTCCTACAGGGTGAACAATTTTATAGGAATCCTATTGTCACAGGAAGGTCACCCATTCAGATTAACAGATAAATGTGAAAGTGGGAGAACAAGAGCTTCCTACAAAAAAAAAGTTTATTGCCCAAAGTGAAAAAATACAAAAATAAGGAAAAAATACAAATATAATACATCATTTTTTAAGCAGCGACTATCTATCCAAATACAACGTGGAAATGCAATACGTGTAATGGGAACAATTCCCTGACCAGGATAGCATAGAGGAAGTGTTTCTGTTATAAATTTTGTTATTGGTACTTAGTTTTTATCTGGAATATGATACTTATTAAAGGTGAAAAGCAAAAATAAGGGACAAAAGAAGGCACGAACTGACCATTTCCACAGGAAATGCATGAATTCTACATCAGCATAGGGCGGCTGCTCCATACAACCCCTAGCATGACACTGTCTTTTGCTAGCAGCTTTGTCCATCTAAACACTGTGTTGATAATTAGTTCCATCTTAGTCAACATCCTCTTTGCGTTAATAACTGATTCCATCTTGGTCGTCATAATTTGCACATTTTGTTCCGCGGATAATGCGGTTGAATATTTTCGTTAAAGCTGTGGAGCAGCACTGCGGTGCCAAGGAAAAATAAACACCGAAAACAGTGAACATTAATGCATCAGCAGCAGTTGGGTAGCCACTAAGCTTGGTTCCTGCGCGACAACGCAACGTACCTTAAGGCAGCTATCGTGAGTTCTGTGAATTTCGTTTACCGCAAGTGTACCACATGAATCAGATTCATGTCCGTGGCATGGTGATATTTGGGGCGGATTTGTTATTATTCTACTGCACTGCGCTGTTGGCGGCGGTGGTAGTTTATCTCAAGATCGATGAGAGCCTACGAAAGCATGAAGCGGTGATTTGTGTATCCCTCACGGGCCTCACCTCAGTACAGTGGAAGGTGGCGAGTTCTCAAGGGTGTCGACGAAACGGCATAAGGATGAACAAGAGCAACAGAGCGTCGTTCTCCTCACCACTACCAACAGTATAACTAGCGGCAGCAATCACAGCTGTGCGTGCAACGGGACCGATGCAAAATTTCAGCGCAGACAAAGCAGAGCTATAGCCTGGTTGCCATTTCGTGGTTTGCTGATATACTGTACAACATTTTTGCGGCGACAAATTTTCATAGTAAATGAAAGAAGTTAAATTAAATTAAAGCTTTTGTTGCACTATGCGCACTCTCGGAATGTCATTGCACTTTATGAAAGGTGCAAGTGAAAGTCCAGTGTGACTCGAAACAAGACTGAGCCAAATATGAATTCTTAAAAGTTATTTTTAACAAACGCCTCTACTTGTTCTTGTTATGGTGGTACATGTGATATCATGTAGGTATTATAATCATATATTTGCTCAAAAATTTAACCTGCTTAAAGCAACAAATTAAAAACACCGAGGCTCCTTTTCGCTTACGGGTTTACTGAGTGCCAAACGACCACGTAGAAAATGCTATCGCCATACCAGTTGCTCACTTTCTCCATTTCTAAGCTGAGGAAGCTGTTTAGCAAAAATTATTACCATTTGTATAGAAATACCTGGAATCAATTTCCTCTGATTTAATCTTATAAATGTTTTCATGCTAACGCTGAGATTTTTACCTAGAAGATGCCTGCAGTAAAAGTAATTATAGCCTACGATCGGTCCAGTGAGGCTCTTCGGCCGGTGCGACGCAAGCTAAAAATAAACACTAAGGGATCAAAAAGAGACTGGGTTGCGTACAAAGATGCACAAATTTCAAGAATAATATTCGGAGGTTTCGTACTAAAATGCCACATAAAGACGCATGTCTGTATGGGCAACCAGCACACAACGACGGTAAAGCAGGTCAGTGTCAGCACAAGAAACGGCTTTACTTTGTCCTTGGCTGCGCGGTTCCTTTCCGGGTTAGGCGGGCAGTGGACAACCGCGCTTTTTTTGGCAGGACCAGAGACTGCGATCGCCGCAACCGCTCCCGGCTTTCGTGCTTTTCTGTTACACCATCGTTTGCTGGTCAGGAATAAGTAGATCACAACAATGATTATTAATGGGATATGGCGGTAGATGATGTTTTCTGCGCGATTCCAATCCAACATGCTGCCTGCATACAGATGGTAAGATTACTCAGAATCTTCTTTACGAAAATATCGCTTATTTAGTTTCTTATGAATTTGTGAGGAGGGTGTTTTAGATGCGCTTTACATGTAGCAAAGTGGAATTAGTGATAACAGCACATTTCCAGGAGTATGGCATCAAAGATCACCGGTGTTAAGGGAACAGCTGATACTGCTTTCAGGTGCATAATACTACAAAGTATTAAGTATAATAACCTTGTTAAGTAGTTTGTGTAGCGTAAGCCGCATAAAAATTTTAAGTAAAATTAGAACGAACCATAGAAAAGTCGGCATTGAGGATTCAGGACAGGCTGGTAATGCTGCACCACTTCAACGACAAATCCCGCCAGCCCCAGCGTGTGCGGCCAACAGAAAGCTGCAAAACACATCCAGGCCGCCACAGCCTTATTGTGCCGGTTGCGGTACGATATAGGGTATTTGATAGCCCACCAACGATTTATCGCAATCAAGACGTGAAGTGAAACGGTGACAGCAGAAAACACTTTACTGATGTACAAACTGAAGATGCATAACGGACTTCCCAGTGTCCAGTACCCCATCCAGTCCCGAAGAATGGAAAGTGGCCAGGTGGTGAATAGAAATACCAAGTTGCCAATATACAAGGCTAACAAATACGTAGTGAAAGGCGTAATATACTTGGGACGGAGGATGTGGTAGATGACGACACCGGCATTCAGCCCAACCGATGCAGCGGTCAAAATCAACTTAATCCAGTTGGCTGCGCTTGACTGAAGAGTAACTGCGAGCTTGGGGTTGTAAAGGGGCATGGATAAATTAATAGAAGCATTAGCGCTGAGGTTTTGCACTTCCATATTTTTTTATATCCTCAATTAAATGAGTCAGGATAATCAAAAGATCTGAAAATTGATATCATTTGATATCATTGATATCAATATCCACCAAAACGTAAATACGGGCTGGAGGTAAAAGCAGCCAGTTGGTATAACATTTAAATAATAATGTCGAAATAGCAGTTAGCAGAACTACCATATATATTATAATTATATGTCAAATATCCTTAAGGCTTAGGTAATTGTGCTCATCGGCGAAAACCCGTCATTTCGTCAAACTATACCGGTTTTATTTGAAAGTGCTTGGAAGAAATTGCCATAAACCTTAATAACAGGATGTACCACTTCCCTTGCTGGGTTCATAAAATGATTAAATAATTGCTGTATTGGCGGTTGCGTATATGACGGTTTAAACGTATATGTTTGCCATTTCCTGCGGACGTAAGCGGAAAGCTGCGTTCATTATTCGTGTTAACTTAGAAAGACGGATGTCAAATTAATTCAAACTTAACCTTTCTGGATGTCGTGGCAGTTTCTCTCTGTGCTTTTTGTTCATATAGATTTGATTAGTCAAGTCACTAAGCACGAACACAATTAAATGAGTATATATTTCTGTATTTCCAGCATGTCTACTCGGAAAGTGCCGATGACTAATTATTTGCTACTTCGAAAACGGGTCATAACTGACGCCAACACATTAAGCAAAACAGGATGGTCGTCAAGGGTTTATTTGTAACGATAAGTTGGCAACCGAATGTATACTCTAGAAAATCGTCGTTGGCTTGCGTTTCAACTTTGTAAAATTACTTACCAAAGAAAGTTATATTGAAAAGATTCCCTCCTCGCTCCAAGGGTCGTTCTTATTCCAGGAAAGGTGGAAAAATTTCATCGTTTAATGCTTCATTACATAGGTATCTGTATTTATGTCTGTTGGTGTAAATACGATTCTTATAATAATTGTTAATATTAATGAGTGTACTCGTACTGTTTTCATATGAAATCATACGATGTTGCTCATGTGTACACCCAGCAGGGCCAGCACTCTAACTTTCACCAACCCTTGATGGAGAAGATGTTATACAGAAATAAATCAGTCTGACTGTTTTACTGAGTACGTATATGAACAAATGCTTCACAATGTTACAATGGACAGATTTACCCTTCGTAAAAGCAGACTACTGAAGCCATTTAATTCTATCAATAATTGTTGATGAGTTTTTACTGGTTTTTAACAAACTTTAAAATTAATGCGCAATTTTTTGTTTGGAATACCTAACAAAAGAGCGTTGATTAAAGCCTTGAACTGACACACATCGCATAAAACTATGTCACCGATTAATTTTAAGCTGAATCGCACCCAAATCGCTTATTCCTTACCACGCATAATCAGCGTTGCGAAATAGTAGTGGCGAGTGACGAGTTGCCGTTTTGCTCCTAATGTACAAACGTAACGCCAGTGCGTTTGCAAAGTAATCGACAAGTCACGAAACAATTTAATACGAGGATTTTGGTAAAATTCGTGAAAAAGACTGTGCCTAAAACTGGCATTGAAAATGCACTTTTGCTAACGTTTATATGTTCGTCTCTGTAAAGGTGAGTTAACTATACGGTCATAAACGTGGTAAACCATCGTGACACTTGTGTTTTCTTTTATTACATTTACTTTATTTACATTTCTTACATTCAGACTTGCCGCAGATTTGACAGAGCCATTTCATTCGCATCCAGCTTGACTCCATTCAAACTCTGGACGGCAGTATTATCTTGCACGTTATATACTGAACGCATGTGGTATTACTGAACGCCGTTCTGGCGTTCCATCGTAACGTCTTCGTTCAGTAATGAATTAGTTATTAATATGCCAGCACGGCTGAATAAAATCAAAACGAATTGTCAAAACTGTTGCAGCCTCTCTGACGTATCGGATTACAAAGAGCTGGTGATATCCAAAGGGTCACTTCACGAACCGAGATTGATTTCATGGAGTATTCGGCAGCATTTGCCGAATGCCATATCAATCTCGTTCCAGGAAGTGAGACTTTGGCTAGCGCCAGCTCCTATGCAAATGAATGGTTAAGCATATTGTATCCACATCCCAGATAATTTTTTGTTGAGTGGTAGAACAGCAATTTTCGTTCTAATAAGGAGGCATTAAAAAACAAAAGAAATCGAGTTTTTCGAGAGAATGATCAAAATTCTTTTCTATAGTAGTAATCTTCTGTAGCCATTGCACATTTGTGCTAGAGAAAGCTTTTCCTCGTACAATAAGCGTCTTATCTACAGAGCATGGCAGAAGAGACACCAACACCAAAATGAATTATTCAGATTACATTTCATGCTCTCGAAAGAAAATGGACGCGAATACAGAAGGTCGCCTAGCTGTGAATTGCCACTGTTGTTGCCATGTGGAGTGACGTGTCAGCAGGAATCCACCAAAAATAATCGGGTTGATCACCGAAAAACTCATTCCTAAATGGATCAAAATTCAATATATAAAGCTGCAACAATATTTCTTCGCTCAGCTAATCTTTTTACTGTATTTTAAAAGCCAAAAGCAAAACAATCCACACAGAAAGTAACAACGGTATCTCGTTAATTTTTTCTTGTCTGCTAATATTATATCTATATTATTTTGATGTTTTGGTATATACTCTTCTCTCATTTTACATCTGTCTGATCTCCTATCTGCTTTACATTTTGTTAAATCTCTTTGGCTGCATAATAGTAGCGCTTACCCAAGCAAAAAATGATAGTCATCGTCTTAGTGGAAATAGTCCAGTGGAATAAGTATCCCAGCATTCCGGTGTAGTACGGCGCTACAACGCACGAAGGGAATATCAGACATCTGATTAATTAGAAATTCAAGGAATATTACAGGAAACATGTTCGTGCCACGACTGCTTGCTGTACTGTACTGTACTGTACTGTACGATGTGCTGTACTATACATATTTTCGTGCCCAGGCGCATACTATTTACACTTACCCCAGCAAATAACAAAGCTAGCAGCCGTAATGAAAGTCATCCACAAAGATATTTGCCGGGTTTTCCGGTACATCCGTTTACCGTGGCCCGTATTAGCGTGGCATAGTATCGCGGTATTTTGCATACTGGGCATGGAAATGCTGATTTCTTCTGGGTGGCACATACACAATCGCACATTCGTGGCAGAATCTGTGCATAAAATTCTCAAAGTACATGTAGAAAGGCAGTAATAAGGGTCGAAATCGAAATTAACTTATCAGCCATTGTCAGGTGCAACGGACGCCAAAATTTCATTTATACTGCCTAAATTAAGATACCGCGGTCAAATCACACGCGTCAGCGTTTAGCACACAAACTTCCGGCTGACCACCCGCCTAATCTTGAATCTCTTGCAACCGGCATTTTTCGGAATTGCGATGTAGTTGCACTACATATTGTATATTGCAGTCTAATATTTATAAATTATAGGAGGTAAATAATTAATGCCAGATGATGGTAATTGGTAACATAATGGTAATATCGCATATACGTATTTATTAGTGCTTCAAATTTTATGGCCCCGAGTAAGTAGTTCAAACTTTATGGCCTTAGCGCCGGTTATTAGCGTTTCCCCGAACTGCAACCGGAAATATTCTGGGTTGTTTACTTCCTACAGTTTAACGCCTACCAGGACTTCCAGCCGCAATCCGGGCTTCCTGTGTGATGGCAATGGAAATGACCAAATAACAGATAACAATAATACACAACGGAATCAAGCACATGATGATGAGAGTTGCTAGGGTGTAGGCGAGCTCTTGATCGGCACTGGAGTAAAAGCCATGCGTAACGCACTGATAGAATTTTGCGCAAATTGGAGCGCGATCCGTATGGAAAATCACTGCCTGCAGAAATACTGTTTCAATGCCAATGTAGAACGTCTTCGTAATTATTTTAAATAGATTTTAATAATGGCTGAGTACTTTCATGCCACAACATAAACATCCTCTGGACATTTAACGTAAAATCCTAAATCTAGACATCATAAATTGCGTCATTCGAATTGCCGATTTCTGAAATTTAATCAAAGGATGTATGCGCAACTTTGCGCATTTGATTATGGAACAGATTCTCTTAATGTTATCTAAATATCATATAGTATTTGCATGTGAATTTGTGTACCTTTAATATATTACATAAATTATAAGAGATATTATTTATTTTATTTTCCGTGGACAGTTCGCAAAAATTCTGTGGCTGATAAGGGCATTCTTTAATGCAAAAATATTAAAAAATGATTAGTTTTTGTGTATACAATAAAAATAACCTTTCTGACGCCTTTTCTCACTGCTGATTAAATTATTGTACCTGCGGCACACTGCACATCGAAGACACCAGCCAGGCGAATCCGGTGATAACTTTCACACGGGATTGACTTTCCGACTTACTGGATTTACTCAGTGGAAAGGTCACAGTAATGCAGGTCTCGATGCTCATTCCGGTGAGGATTAAGGTGGTGGCGTATAAACTGGAACAGTATTACATTCACGTTAAGGCACGTGATTCCGATGCATCGGACCAAGCGCGTGTACGTTCTAGCGAACTTTCATTTTCGCGCAAAACCAAAAACATTTTTTGGACGTTTTATGATACTGGATATTACTTATTGATTTAATTTTATTTGATTGATTTGTGTACACTGCCATGAAAACCATTTATGCGCCACACATTCGGTTTGGGTAGTTATGAGCGAAATGAAATTCCAGTTAATCAATACATCTGCACGTCAAGTTGCGAGTAAATGAAAAGCACGTTAATTGATGGATATTGGCATGGAGCGTGAGGGCTGCAGGCGGTAATCAGTCAATCCGAACTGTTACCACCACCAACGCAGTTAACACGGGACCAGCGCGCACAATAGCTCGCACTATCTTTTAATCTTCTCCAATATATCGTGTGCATGTAATTTCTGCGAATTCTCGCCGAGCCTTAAAAAGGCCGAGCCTTCCAAGTGGGCCCAGAGCGTGCGCCACGGCTCACAGGTGGATTCATTTACAAGGTACATAGCGCGCCTAATCGTTACATCCTGCCAGCTACATAAAAATATGCACGACACGGAAGTCGACATTAACACAGCAGTATGTAGGCCGATGAAGAGAATGGCAAAGTAAAATCAATGGTGAGATAGTTACAAAGCCCACCTGAACATCTGGCAGAATTTGATGACGCGGCAGAGAAGATCCCCACCCATCCACTGCACGGTGATGTTCCAGATCCCGTCGGCCAGTAAACAGAACACCGATACCATCAAATTAGCCACGAACAGTTGCAGTAACTGGAAATTGGAAATACTGTACCAAATTACTTCGCTGCAGCGTATAGGTAAATGCCGTTAGCTAGCTCTTAGCGTAAGTTTTTTCACGGAGATATAACTCACAATATGTAAAACAGCCGACAGCACAAATAAGCACCAAAAACATATATTAAATTTTGTCGTTTCAGTCGGAATGTGCTACCGTTAACAGCATCAAAGGTCAGGCGAGGCGGTAATGGTAAAGATTATTAAGTTTCGTAAGCAGATTTAACAACTGAATCTCTTAATTAGTTTTTACAAGTACGGGCTCGCCTGACCTCTGATATAATCAAAATTGTGCAACCTGGGGGGGGGCTCGTGCTCGTCATTACCCAGGAGAGTGAAACCAGTGCAGCGTATGTTATGGTTTGCTATTAAGCTTCACATTACGCTAGTGTTTTCCGCCGACGCGCCATTTTTTTGCAGGTAAGTACAAAAGTGTCTCAGCTGTTAAAAACCTGGTTTTAATTTTTCTAATGTGTAGAACGATCTGTTGCTTCCTTACCAAGATGCTCAGTGTCGAATGACGATATATGGCACTCTTCAGCAGGAGCGCAATCATGCTGGCATTGAGCACCACACCGAAACCAGCCAGAACGAGCAGAATGCTGATGTAGTGGTATCTCTGGGTCAAGTAGCCGGGATCACTCCGGTTGAGAAACATCAGAACATCCGCCGAACTATTTCTCGTGCAATTTAAACGGGCATAAAAAGCGGCGTCTCCTTCCGCATAATCCATGACCGATCGCACCACCAGTGCAAAAGTCAAATTACCAAAGACGGTGTATAACGGAGTCTCCTTGAAAAACGAAAGAAAACTTCCAGATGCTAGGTAGGCACTGGCTTTCTGCATGCCATAGAAAATCGTGAGCGTCTCAATTAAGCGCGCTTCGGTGCGGTCTGAGAGATATCGCTAGGCTAAGGATGCACAGGCAAGGAATGGTGTGTTTGCTACCTAAGAGCCATAGGAAGATTAAGTCTGCTACGCTGGCTGCTTGGATTGAAGTGCGCCTTTGCGTGTTGCTGCAAATCAGAAATTAATACAAGGAGTGTTGCTGGATGTAACAGCCTGTCTGGAGCAATGCATCGACTCCTCTGCGTCACGTATAGGCGTATACCATCTCGTTGTATTAATATCGGCCAACTGGCTGGCACCAACCAGCCCACCCAGTACTCCGCCCATTCTCAATCTAATGTATAGGGGCAAAACCCTTCCCGAAATTTTAAAAATATTTCAAGGTAGACTAGTACATATCTTTAAGAAAAGCGATGTCAAAGCAATACCGTACTCAAAGGACTTTATTGCCATGCATACGAATATATATGGCATCATACACAATTTAATTGTATGTATGCATGTCAACAAAGCCCCATCATTACGGTATTGGTCAAGCCTATGGAATCGCAACCTGAGTGCAACAAACCGGTCGCTGTAATCTATAGTGGAATTTTGTGCATTTCGAAACATAAATAACCAAACCATCTTTAATAATGCGCAAATGTTCAGTTGTTAATTAGCTTCTGGCGTTCTGTAACATCCCATTTCGTGAAAACGCTACAAACCCTTTTCAAAATGGAAAAAAGTAGGCCGTTGTTATACTATCCCGTCCTGTTTTGCTGATCTTAAAGTTTTTTAGACGTTGCAACGCTGGTTTTGAAATCAATATTTTCATTAATTTTAAGCTCTGCAGATGGCTGTGTCCGTAGTACGCCACACGAGAACTGTTCGTCCCGACTAGAGTACAGATAGTGCTGCGCAAATGACAAAAGTATAACCGAAGATGCGTAAATGAATTAACGCATAAGACTTAACTGGAACCACAACACTTTGCGTTGGTATTGTTGCTTGGAAAATGGAGACTTCTACCAATAACAACCAGCCAAAATAATGTTGGTATAAATCTCTCACAGAATTTTATTTCGGGTATTTCTGGAACGAAGCACTAAGCAAAGAAGAATTTAATATTTTCTAGAATATGGGCCCCCTGGAAGGGGGGGGGGCTTTTAAAAAAATAGCTTTCGTTCGTTGGTAATTTTAAAAAGTTGACATGCAAACTAGCAACCATTTTCCAGGCATTCTGCTGTCGCTACAAATAAATCCGTGACGACATACTGCTCTCGTTTATTTACTGGCAGCCGTGATGATCCGTTTTCGCCGTAGTGAACAATCAGCCACCGGCGCTTTCCGAGCAGGGATGAAGGAAGTAAATACACGGAACACAATCAACACATTTAATGTGTTTGTGCTTGTTGACTAATAAAATTAGTGTGAAACAATAGCACAGAGAGAAAATGACACGACATCTCGAAAGGTTAAGCGTGAATTAATCCAACGTTCGTGTTTGCATTCTACCCTAAAAGGATAATATCCACAAGAAGCTGTCCGTCCACGTCCACAGGGAACAGCCAGCTGCAAATAATTGCATACCTAACTGCCAATACAACAATTATTAAAACATCCTTTAAACCCAAAGGCGGAAGTGGTAATATCCTGTTATTCAGACTAATGCAATTTCCAAAGCATTTCCGGATCCTGCATAACCGGCATGGTTCTTCGAAATGACTGAAATTCACCGATGAATGAGGTGAACTAGAGACATACGACAAACCGCTATAAAGCAGTTCTGCTAACTGCTGTACCGATCTTCCCGATGATTTTACCTCATAAAGTTTTAAGGTTCACTGGACAATAAACACCAACCAAATTTTACAGCTGTTGATGCTTTCAGAGCTTTGCTTTGAGATCTGCTTCAGAGAAAATATATTATGGTGCTATTTTACCATTTTAAAAAGCTAATTACTGTTTTTTATCAGCAGCAAAAAGCGAAAAAATTCACAAAAACAGCACCGGGTATCTTATTGATGTACCTATTAATGTACGGCATATTCTTTACTGTACGGCATATAATACAGTCGATGTTTTGTTCATGAGTGCTTTTGCCTTATTTGAACTTTCTTATTCTGTTATCTATGTATTTTAAAGTGTCCAAAATTGTTTTCGTCTGCATAAAAGTGGCGTTTATCCAGACAAAAAATGATAGTCATCGTGCTACTGGAAATAGTGCACTGGAACAGGTAACCCAGCTTTCCCGCATAATACGGCACCACAACGCACGAGTGCAGTATCAGAGAGGTTGTCGTTAACGGGTTTAATTACATAATTTCAAGTGAGATATTACAGGGAACACTTACCCAGCCAAAGGAGAAGTTTAATTAAGTCATTACACCGTAGACGAAGTATCTAATTGTTTGATTTTATATATACTCGCATTTTTCGCACTCTAGGCTACTACTTAAACTCATCCCAGCTGTGGTGAGTTTAAGTAGTAGCCTTTGTTATTTGCTGCAGCAGTTAACAAAGCTGGCAGCCGTAATAAAAGTCATCCACAAGGATAGGCGTCGGGTTTACCGGTACAGCCATTTACTATGACCCGTACTACCGGGACACAGCATTGCGGCATGTTGCTTACTACGTTACTAGGCATGAAAATGCTGGAATCTTCCAGGTGCCAAGTACATAGCATCCGTCGCGAATTTGTGTCAGAGTCTGCACTTTTGCATGGATTGCGGCAGTAATAATATCCAAAATCAAATAAGAGGCCAGATAAGTCAGATAACTGCACCTCCTCGATTTTAACGAACAGAGAAGTTCTCTAGAACCCTCTCGCTATGCGATAGGGTTCTAGTCCAACGAGAGATTTCCTTCAAAGTCCAGCGAGCCGGCGCCCAGCGTGAGCGGTGTAGGGGACTTATCCGTACGTTAATAAACATACAGTCATATACATACTCGTACTTAATCGAAATAACTTCCCTGGTCTATGGAAACCGGAGTGCTACGAAACTTTTGTGTTTTTAGTTCTGTATATCCATTCTATGACCTACGTTTCCGTGGCTGGCATGCTGTTGACTTAATCTGCTCACTCGGCGATAATTTAGCTCTTCAACAATTCACTGAACGAAATCCTGAAACGATATCACTGTCAGCATCTCACGTGTCGGCCAGAAGGCTATCAGCAAATTTTCGTCAGCCAACATGTCTGTGTTAGTTACTCAGAAATCCGTAAACTCGCGTTCTTTATTTGGGGGTGAGCTGAATTTCTAAGGATTCTAATGTTACCAAGTGTATGTTGATGATAGTTGATCTGACGCGGACGTGTTCGGGAAGGTCTCCCATTAACAGCAGCGCTTTATATAAAACAGTACAGCCACATAGTAAACCACAGGCTGGCTGGCACCAACATTAACCGGAAACGGTGGAACACACTTAAATCTCTCCATATATACTCTACTTATACAGTCATACTCAAACTTTACGTTCCAGATGCAAGCAAGATTTAATTCGTTCTCCTGGGTGCGAAGTCCGAGTCCTGCGCGCAGTAAGATGCAAAGATAACAAGCGGCAGTCTCTGTAGAAGTAGGGTTTGCAGCAAAATAAGCGGCGATGATGATCCGCACTTGATAAGAGTTTTTCACCAGGCTGGTATTAGGTATTTTACTGGTACGCAATAAAACAGAAAAACCACGAAGTGCAATCGCATTGTTATTTCCTGGATATTTTAAAAAGCCTGTTAAAATGGCAAGGTTTTGTTCCGTCTTTGGCTTGTTTTGCTGTTGCTTTTCGGTCGTCCATTTTACTTATGTAAATGCGGCAACATTACCACAAGGTATGCATATTCAGGTACCGTAAATATGGGATATGCATGGGGTGCGTTAAGGGGGAGGGTTGGGGACGTTGTTAGGAGGGTGTCAGTATTTTCCCAACCGCGTATTTTGCTTCATTGAAACTGCAGAAGTAACTCTGTGCAGTTACAAACTTTAGTGCAACATCCCAGTAAATATTTTCAGCTTGTTACCAAAAACTACCACGTGCTGGTGTCTGATAACAGAGTTGTGTTCCTAATGCTGCGTGTGTGAAAGACTACGATGCCTTATACTGTTGTTTTTTTGGGTTGTGCTCGTGTATTTATTAGTGGACCCCTGAGATGCACATGTACGTAAAGAGGATTTATTAATAAGTTTTTCATTAGCTGAACGCATCGCTGAACGCATAATAAGAGTGGAACTAAAAATTAGCGCGAAGTGTCCACTTGTTAAGTTTTTACATAGCGCAACGCGCGTAGGGTGTGTTACGAAACACGTGAATAACGAATCAAGAGTGTTTAATATCGATTTCGAAAAGCAGTTCTTAATTTCTTGAATGAATTACAATATGCAAGGTGTGCGAGGTGCGAGGTGCAAGGCAAATGGGAAAAATTTTTCGCCTTTATGGAGACCCTGCTTATCCGATTTCGGCGTATCTCGAGGGTCCCTTTAAACCAGCAAAAAAATCAGATCGAGTACGATTTTAACGAAGCCATGTCAGCGTGTCGTATCGCAGTTGAGTGGGGTTTCGGAGAAGTAGTCCAACAGTTTGCTTTCCTCGATTTCCGGAAAAATCTCAAAATATTTTTGCAGCCAGTTGGACTTCTCTACACAGTTGGAACTTTACTACTGAATTATCGTGTCTGCTTGGGGTACGGGGGAAAAGTTGCTGATTATTTTTCTGTAGTCCCTCCGACCCTGGAAGTTTACCTAAACAACAACAGAGAATAGATTGTTGGTTTTCTGTGGAACTGTTTCTGTTGAGCAGCCATAAATCGATTTCGAATATTTGTATCTCATCTACGGAATCGTTAAAATAAACGTTCAGCGTGCCTGTTCAAAATAAAACACCGGAATTACACAGATCAGCGTTGGAAATAATTTCTAACAGTTTTCTTGGTAAACACAGAGTACAACAGTTCTAAAGTCAACAAAAACTGTCATAGCAAAACTACGACTTAATCTCTGACTTTAGTATTAGCCACCGTAATGAGATACTCGACTTCGAGAAAAACATCATCAATCGATGCTAGATTAGTCTGAACGAGAAAATTTTTCCAGTAACTTAGCAAAAAGTTGTGCATTCAACGCCTGTACTTTCAACTCTTCCGAGCGATTGTCTTCTTTCTTGTTTTCAACTTCCAATTTTCCTTTTCGAATTTCGAGTTTCATAGTCTGTTTTGCAGGCAGTCGTTCTTCTCTCTTCTTTTCCAGTTCTAACGCTGACTCTTTTAATTGCAATTCTTTGTCTCGCATCGATTTTGAGTCTGACAAAAAATTCTGCACCGTTCCGTTCCAGCTCATCCGTTCACGCTTGGGAAGCCGACCACTGTTTCCATTCTCGTCGTCCGGTGCGAAGGGACCGTATCCGTTCACACGAGCATCAAAATCATCTGGCAAAACAATGACATTATTTATCTACAATTTTATTATCTAACAAAAAAACATCGATTTCGACAGCTTGAATAAAAAATACCAAATAATAATAAAAAAGATATATTAAATGCTTTGATTTAAATAAAACAGGTTTCGAAAACGATCCAATAACATTTCTTACCGATCGGTTCGTCTGAGTCTGGTTCAGAAGTCTCAGACAGGCGCTTTCGTTTCTTCATGCTGTACTTTGCTGCCACCTGAAACTTTAAGTCTTCACGCGCCTGCTTTTCCATCTCTTTTGTCTGCGGCTTCTGCGTGGATGCGCGTTTAGCAGCGTCGGCCTCGAATTCGAGTATCTCACACAGCAGCTGTTCTTGCTCGTTAAACGTTCCAGGATCTCCAGTGCGCCATTCGTCGAGTCTGTTTGACTTGCGAAAATCTCCAGCAAGTCTCTGGCTTCGTTCTCGTACTGCAGGCTGAGATATCTCCTTCAGTGGCTCGAACTCGATAAGACGCTGGTGCATCTTAAGCCACAATTCGTCTGCCTTTCCTGTGTGGTCCTTAACTGTGCACAAATACTGGCGCAGCAGCCTGATGTCTTCTGCAGATGTCCATCGATGTCGTGTCTGGGTTTTGTGTTTCGCGATTTCGACCTGCACAAGCGTTGGCTGATAGGAAAAGCCATCTTCAAAGGACTTCGCACACGGTATATTGGATTCCATGACAACAAATCACGAATAAATGATAAGCGAACTCGAAAACACTCAAGAAATTAAAATTATAATTTCGATGAATTTCAGCAGTAACGCGCAGGCACAGCAACTGCTAAGTGCAAGTTGACGGTGGAAATCTGACGTTGCATTGATTAAGCAATCTGATACAGTTTAAAATTTCCGATGCCCACAGGTGGAAATTCACGGGCGAATTCGATACGGTAACTCGCTGATTTATCGTCGTGGCTCACACAGTTTAGCTGTAAACGTCACGATTCCTCAGCTGGTATCCCCTGCCACCGGAACATCTTTAGTGTTTGCAGCAAATATTTCCGCGCAGTGTTCACCAGTGGTCTTCAAGAGTCTACTATCCGCCTGAACAACATCTCCACGAGCACACTGAAAGAGTAAGTTGCACACAGATAACACGGTGACTGGAGTTCATGATGCTGTGCAGTTAGTGGATAGAGAGACTGGTTGATTCCAAAGCTTTTAACTACCTACTTAGGTAAAACTAGTTGCATTACCGCATTTATCTGCATGCAGTCTGGTTAGTTATGCCTACACACTGGAAATCAAGATTGACGTCAACAATGTTCGATCCATCCTGGCGGCAGCGCTTTTTCTGGAAATTCCTGCCGTCGCCAGTCTGTGCTGGGATGTTGTGGAGGAGCAAATGGATGTCACCATTTGCTTGATGGTTCACCGCTTCGTCGATCGACATACCAAAGCGCGACTGGCTGCGCGAGCCAAAGCCATGGTTCTTCGCAATTTTCTCCGAATTTCACGGAGTGCTGACTTTTTACTCGTTGATGTAGATAAGGTGCTCAGCAGGTTTCATAAGAGCTGTTTTGTATACTTCATACACAATTCTATTTATAGTTGGTCGAACTAATCGCATCAAATGATCTGCGCGTGGTCAAAGAGGATAACGTGCTGGAAGCGGTAGTGCGCTGGCTGGAGCACGACCCAGCCGGACGAAAGGCGCAGGTTTCCGAGCTGCTTCAGTTTGTACGGTTGGTCTTCCTTGGTTCTGCAGCACTGCAGAAGTATTTTCTGTTGCTCTTCAATGGTTTTATCAGTACACCAGCTGCCCCTTCATCAGTGCCGTCCGGAATTGCTCAAACTCTGCCCAACCGTCAAGCCGAGGCCATGACATCTCAAAGTCGTCCCCGGGAGTCATACGGTAAACTATCGGATCATTTTGCAGCGTTTATTTTGCTTTTATAGCGGACAAGTGTATAAACCAGGCTACAAATTGAGCATTAGAGGTCCAGGTGCAACGAAAATACAGCACTGTTATCGCCTAAAATGATGGTCACGGCACGATCTGTACACTAAAGTTTGGCGTGAGCCGTGATTTTTGTGTTTTTCGCTGCTTCAGTGATGCTTAATTTGTTGTCCGGCTAAAACTTACTTACGTAAACGCCGTTTTTATGCTGCAGATTCGGCGAAGGCGATTGTGTGCGTTGGTGAGATGAAGGGTGGTGAGAAGAAGACTCGCTTGTCCTTGCACATTTTCATGCCGTCAACTTCACTTGTGCTGCCTCTAACAAATCTGCCAGAAAATTTCGATGCTCCTGCTTTGGCGATGCTGTCCAGTGGCTTGATACTGGCATGTGGAGGAGGTTCGAAGCATCTCTCGGAACGCCGAGTCTGGCAGTATGATGCTACTCACTTTGCGTGGAAGGAAGTCGAAGCCATGGGGCACCGGCGCTATGGAGCGGGCGTAGTGGCGCTTAATGGTCGTATTTATGCTGTCGGCGGTGTTGATTTACGAGCTGGAACCAAGGGTCGTTCCGTAACTTTGTCCTCCATGAAGGTGTACGATCCAGAGGATGACGAGTGGGAGTTTGTGGCTTCTCTGCCGACCGCGTTGGTCGATTTCGCTATTGTGGCGTGTGATGATCGGCTGTTTGTGTTTGGAGGGGAAACTGGACGTTTCAATGGAGAGGTGAAGAGCGTCTACTGTTACGACCCCGTAGGAAATGTGTGGAGCAGAATGGCCGACATGTCGACGGTGCGGCGTAGTTGTACGGCTTGCGTGGGTGCCAGTGGACTGGTTTATGTGATAGGTAGGGAATAGAGTACTTACAAATTACCCCAACGGACAACTAACTGGGATTCGAAATTCTGGCAGTCGGTTACTCTGTGCAGTGTAGGATAAGAAATTAATCGTTCGTTTTAACGGAACCTTGTGCAGACAAACGTTTAACAGAGCATTGGATGTGTTCTTCGTTCTACTATTCCACATTTTTCAACCGTGGGCCGACCACATAAATTTCCGCTTATTTCCGTCCTGTATTTTACAAACACGGAATGCAATCTGTAGGTGGGTCGGCGGATGCTGATGAAGGTGAACAATGTGGATATCTGGTTGAGGCTTATGACATCGCGACTAATCAGTGGTGTAAAAAGAGTGCGTAAATACTTCGAACATAATAGTACTAGCACTAAATTTGTGTCAAGTAATTATTGTTTTTTTTTTGCATTTTCTCACATATCGTTGCAGAAATATGATCGTAAATCGTCATTCTGCTGTCAGCGCTTGTATCGGCGGAACGATCTATGCTGTTGGTGGGGTGGATTGACCTGACGAATATGTCGAGAATACGTCGATCGAGTGTTATGACGAAGACACCGACACGTGGACTCTGCACAGCTGCCGGATGCCGAAAGAGAGAGTCCTCACGGGTTGTGCTGTAATGACATTGAACACTGGTAAATTTCTGGAAATGGTGACCCGCCATTTCGTCGACGAAAATTCGTCGACCGTCGCTTCGTCGAGTAGACACGATGTCGACCTGTCACGACGTCGAACCAACGTTTAGCTAAACCAGCTCAGTTTTCTAGTATACCTAAGAAACCTCTTTTTAGCCGTCGCCCTCGTGAGGGTCGATGTAGTGCGGTCGACATGGTGTCGGTCGACGAAACGTCGGTGAGCGCTGGAAATAACTGTAGTCGAAATTGGTTGCGGCGGCATTTCTGGCTCGTGGTTTGCTAATACAGTTTGAAACGCGCTTGTCGGGATCAGTATACTCCTTATAATTATGGAATCAGTCTGGTGGTGGTTACTGGGTACCTTGGACTACCCATAGCGATAACTTATTTTATTTGCGGATGTCCAGCGCATGTTACTCTATATCTCATGCTACGAGAAAGAGTCGAGAAGGTCAACGTACGTGCAAACTAGCACCACATGAAAAGAATTAATGTCATTATGCGATGGACTGCGGACTGATATTCTTTCTACCTGCCGTTGTCAAAATCCGCATGATTTCCGTCTTGACAATGGATCCTTCGTTTACAGGTACGAATCTGACGAATGTGAATGCGCATTGTGGATGATCTCTAGGAGATCGGCATTCTCTTCCACAAATCGTAGTAAGGCGTTTTAGTAAGGAATCCTTGAAACTATTTGCATCCTGGTCCAGTTTAGTTGTTGTGAAAATTGACTGAAGCTTCCGTTTGTTTGGGTGTATGCGCAATCGATTATGTTTTGATTGAATTGGTCCTTGAATGTGTCTCTGTTTGGAGAGTTTTGCAATGTTCTTGTGGGCGTTCTGCTGCTTGAACCTGCTTCTGTTGTAGTTTGGGAAAGAAACCATTTGTGGATCGTACAAATGCGTGTAAGCCATGAAACTGTCGGAAGACTGAGCAGCGAAAAAGAATATATACGGTATATTACGGGTACACAAAAGCGCACCACATAGTAATCTTGTGCTCCGCGTCAAACATTCAGTAACTTGCATCGAAAGCAGCGAGAGGCTGCAAGTAAGCATAAAATGAAGCGTCAAGAGCATAAAATTTGTCGAACGCCACGAAGAGCGTCACGCACACCGTACACGTAGTTATTTTTTCAGTTCAATAAATCCAGTACCTTTTAAATGGGATCGGAGCTCCTGCAGGAATGTGGTTAACAACGGCGACTGCACAAGCATCGTTTTGTATTGATTATGCAGACGGTAATGGTATACTGTATCATCATAATTGTATTGCTTCCTAACGAGTGGAAACAGTGGTAATTAAGTAACGTCAGCCAATAAAATAAACAAGCACAGCGCGCGGCGCTACGCGCCGCGCTGCAGTGCAAAGGCGGTTCTTGACGGCTGGGCTCTTTTTGCTGAACGAATCGAAGTGAAACGGTTTTATATGCTAAGTAAGTCTTATTGAAAAGAGAATACAGTTACTGTATCTAGAAACGGGTTAAACCGAAATTCTTCTGTTACAAAACGTTTAAAAGCGTGGACGAATAATGCGTAACCTTCGGTTACGAAAGGTTTAAAAGAGCGGGTATCACACGCGTGGCTTTCGGTGACCAAAGGCTTAATATTAATAAGGCGGGTACCGCACGCGTGGCCATCTGTGACCAAAGGCTTAAAAAGGCGGGTACCGCACGCGTGGCCTTCAGTGACCAAAGGCTTAAAAGGCCTTCGGTGACCGTGACCAAAGGCTTAAAACGCCTTCGGTGTCCAAAGGCTTAAAAGGCCTTCGGTGTCCAAAGGCTTAAACGATATTCGGTGTCCAAAGGCTTAAAAAGCCTTTGGTTACTAAAGGCTTAATAAAGCAGGTACCGCATGCGTGGCCTTCGGTAACCAAATGCTTAAAAGGGCGGGTACCGCACGCGTGCCCTTCGTTGACCAAAGGCTACGGGGTGGGCGGGTGCCGCAAAATTTGTTAAGGTAATTAAAGTTATCAGGTTTGTTAAAGCACTAAGGTCTTGAAGCTTAGTAAGGGATTAAGCTAAATGTGAGATTCGGTTTATGAGGCGAAGGTTTTACAGATAAAGGCGAAGGTTTTACAGATAAAGGCGAAGGTTTTACAGGTAAAGGTTTTACCGGTAAACTAAGTTTCGGAAGCTTAGTAAGGATAAAGGCGTAACAGCACTGGTTTAAGGGGCTGCAAAAGCTTAAAAGTTGCTAGGCGGGTTCCGGCCAATCGGAAACGTAAGGCTGGTTCTGGCCAATTAGAACGTTTTGGAGGCGGGAGCGTTCCGGAATCAGATCTCTGCTTTAATATACGAGGACATTTGGGTGCTGTGAACATACCCTGCACGATTAGGCTGCGATGAACAGCTGGTTAGCCGTAGCTCGCAACGCTACTGATATCACAGTCTGAATGCAAACGGCTATAAATTTAGCTGGCTGTTCATCGCAGCCTAATCGTGCAGGGTATGTTCACAGCACCCAAATGTCCTCGTATAGGATGTAAGGTGACGCAAACAAATTACGCACATTGTTTTGAATACTGAAAACCGGTTTATTAGCAGCGTCACGCTTCCGGGCCGCCATTAACAGCGGAATGTTTGTTCTATACCTTCCCTCCGTTAATAACAACAAAACATATAACACGGGATCCAAGCACAACAAAGCAATATTTCTTTTCGCTAAACTAACCGGTTGGTCGGTGCGATTTTGATTGTGTATCAGCTGTACATCAAGGAAAGAGACCGGGTACATGCCTACATGGTACCAAATTTGTCTAGTACATGCGTAGAAAATCTCTTTAAAGGCGAAGATTCGGTAACTAATTGCTTAATTGCCGTATCCGATCTAACACTTTCAGTTGATGTAACACAGTATAACCTATGGGAGCGCCGATCGGCGATCGTTACTCGACACGTGTGCTCCACACTTTGTGGTAGGTCGGTCGACGAGTTAGCCCGGGATGGACTGCGCTGTAAGCGGTCTGTCGGAAGACTAACGCGACACGACGTAATCAGCGCGGAATTTACTAGAGGCCTGAAGTCAGCCGGCTTCCCTTCAAGCATGGAACCAAAAGGTCTGTGAAAGATAAGAAAAGACCCACACGTGCAGATGTATTGTAATGTACGGGTGTGTTTTTTCACTTTCTTGCAGCCGCCCAAAACGCCTCAGATAGCATCCGACGCTGGTATATTCCGCGATACGTGCACTTGCTCTAGCTATAGCAGCTCTGCGCTGGTGCCTGGCAGGTTTTTCTATGGCTGACTTGGCCAAATCAATAGGTACTTACAGTTCTGACTGCCTTATGATAATGCAGCCCAACGGGCTCTGCGTCATGCTCCTATGTGTCATTCAGAGATAACGCAAGCGTTGTGCATTGGTTTGTTGCAACAGTCGACACATGCCCACTTTAAGGCAACATTGCCCAACGGTAAATCTAGTCTCGACTAGATTTTCCGTTGGGCATCGTTGAGTTATCCATGCATTGCGCGTATTACACGGTGTACACGGTGAGTGCAATGCAAATGCACTGCTTCGCACGTTAATGCTGTTATACTCTACTGTTATCGACGCTGTGCAGTAACAAATTTAGATTTAACATAATTACGAACGCAGAGAGATGCATATGCTACCATTGATTTAATGACTTCGAGATGGCATTCATTACTAGTTAGGTGGTAATTTCGTGCAATAATTATCAATTAAGCAATATTAATGCTAACTAGGTAGTCATTCAAGACGGCAATAATTAGCTTTACCAATGTATTGCAGATACAAGTAATTAGATCTACAGTAACATTTTCGTGCTCCTTTTTTGCATGTGCGATGGGAAGATGCATAAAGTACATGCACTCGGTTGTTTATCAACAGGCTGACTTAGTGTAAGTTCGGTCATTCACTTATCGCGGCGGTGACAGTTGTTATGTTATCGCATTATTGGGTAGTTTTTTACGCGCCATTTGTTGTTACTCACTGCCACTTGGCTTTTGGTAAGTCTGATTTGCGGTAAGCCAACAGAAATGAATCTCTCTAATGTATACGTAAAGTCCTAATCGACCGATTCACCTTATCATTGCACTGAAATAATATGCAAAAAACCGCGCTGAACAGTGCGCTTGTCAGGCCGCGGCAACGCAGTGTTGTTGCTAACCGCTATTTTTTTTAAACTTAAAGTACGTTTACGTTGGCCTTGATGTGAGCTATTAAGCGTTGTTGCGTCCGTTTTGAACTGCTAATGCCAAGGATCAAGGATGGTAATATCCACGAGAAAGCCCCGGGATATAGGATGTATCCACAACGTTTCCGGATATATCCACAATTATCTTGGACATAAGGGTTGCATTGGTCTAATGCAACCCTTAATTCTTGAATCAAATCAAACGCTACACCGACTGGGTAAACCATCATTGAATAGGCTAACTTACCGTGATAAACTGATTTGCTTCCCATCGTACAATGCCAGAAATTAAAGCAAACACTCCCAAAGGCAGGTCTGCCACATGGTGCGGTAACCGAAATTCAACAGAACAGTGCTTCATGAACCCGCCATAATCGCGAAATTTCCGCCACAGTGGTAGAAGTTTCCAAGTGTCCTGGGCTCACGCGTGGTAATTGTCGTGGTTAACGATCAGTCGAAGATGCGTCACACAATAGCTTACGCCGACTACCATGCCAGGCATGCCTAAGAGCTTTCTTAAAAAATCTGTCCACCTATAACCTTTTTCAGTGATGGGCCAAATGCCACCGCCGCCCACAAATCATATTCCTAAGAAAGCGAGTACGAAGCTGTGATCCTTGTGAAAAAGATCACAGGCATCAGGATTGTGCGGATAAGCAAGCATCAGCGCCGTATCAGCGTATCAGCGTGTTTTCAACGATGTTACGGAACCAGAACTTCCATCTGGTAGCGGAAACCCAGGAAGTACTGAGGAAAGTGGATGTCCGCAACCTTGTATCGGCTCCTGAGAAATATGTTAATTACCGCAACGCTGAACTGAGTCAGGCGCAGGGCCACCTGGAGGACGCGTTGTTCGGGATGAACGTGGGTTATGTCGAGTGCGTGGGACTCCATTTCTAGCAGACGCGAACCCGTGCGGCGTTAGATGTGTACAGCTTTTAGAATTTTTCTATTGGTTGGCGAAGCCAGTACGTACACGATGATACGCCGACCAATAAAAATATTCAAAAGGCATTTGGATCGAGTGAAGCTAATGCACTTGCAGTCGCAGTCCAACAAGGGCGATTGTTGTACTGCATTTCAACTAGCCGGGAGTCAGAATACTTAAAACTAAATACTAATCGAACTGCAAGGTCAGTCGGATTTATAAATTTTTCGAATAGTCATTGCATTTGTGGTCGCCTGCCAGCGCTATACGGCTATAGGATTTCCAGTCAGCCTAGAGTAGTTACCGGCCTTCGGCGGTTTCGCAGTTGTTGAAGTTCCAAATGCACATTCAGTCTTCAACTTTGATTGCGAGCCGAGAGATATTCGAGCTATTCCAGTCTACTACCATAGCATCTAAACGTGTATCTGAATTAGAAGGACCGTGCTGCTACCAAATACCAACATCTACCTGATCAAACATGGCTGAGGGGTTCTTTCGGAGACTACTAGCTATGAAGTCCACAGGCGACTTGTGTGATGTTATGCTGAAAGGCGCGGACGATTCTTCACCTGGCATTTCGTGTCACCGAATCGTACTCAGTGCGCACAGCTCTTATTTCCACACAATGTTTACGAGCGGACTGAAGGAATCAGTCGAATCCAACATCCAGCTGAAGAATATCTCTACGAGCACCCTGAGGGAGTAAGTTGCCGAAATCATATAATAATGTCCTGTTTTCACTCCTCTGTATTCTTGTTGCAATTTTACTCGTATACCGAGACTATAGCGAAGTTTTCGAAGGGTAACTAACCGATAAAATTATGGACGTACTTTTATTGTTAAGTGCGCTATGACCTTATCACTGGGAGAGCTAACGCCTCAATCAAGACTTTCGTTGTTCAGGTTGATTGATTACGCCTACACACTGGAAATCCAGATTAATACAGGCAATGTTCAGTCGATTCTGACAGCGGCCCTGTTTCTGGACATTGTGCCCGTTTCTTATTTGTGTTGGGAGTTTGTGGAGAAGCACATGGATGCCGCCAGTTGCTTGATGATTCATTGTCTGGCCGTTCGGCATCAAAATGCGCGATTGGTCGCAAAAGCCGAAGCCATGGTCCTTCGAAATTTTGTCCGCATTTCACGGGGCGCGGACTTCCGACTCATTGATGCAGAAAAGGTGCAAACCACTTTAGTTTATGCTGCAGCAAAGTATTATTGCAGCCCCGTTGATCCCTCTGTTTGTAGATGGTCGATCTGATTGCGTCAGATGATTTGCGCGTGGAAAACGAGGATGACGTGCTGGAAGCGGTGATGCGGTGGCTGGATCACGACCCAGCCGGACGAAAAGCGCATCTCTCGGATGTGCTGCAGTTCGTGCGGGTTGTTTTCCTTGGTCCTGCTTCGCTGGAGAAGTATTTCTTGGCGCTTTACAATGCCCTTAACAAATCACCAGCCGTGGATTTACCGCTGTCGTCCAGGATGGCCAGTGCCCTGCCCAACCGTCAAACTGAAGCCATCGCCTCTCGATGTCGACCCCGGGAATCCTACGGTACGGTATTCCTGTCTTTTCCTTTGTTGACTAGTTTGCGCCATTAAAGTTTTAATTCTGATTCTGCTAGTAACCGGCAGTTTTCCGGTGGTAGGATTCAGGAAAGCTGTTGTCTGCGTTGCGGAGTCTGAAACATGGGAAGGAGTCTTCTTCTGTGATTGTTTTCCTGCCATCCGCGTCAAGTGTGCTGCGTTTCGCTAGTCTGCCCAACAACATTGATGCGCCCGGCTTGGCGGTGCTGGAGAACGGATCGTTATTGGCATGCGGCGGACGAAGTGGCCCTGAGGCCTCGGAGAACCGAGTATGGCGTTACGACAACGCTGGTTATGCCTGGACGGAACTCCAACCACTGCAGCAAAGGCGTTATGGAATGGGTGTGGCAGCGCTGAACGGCCGCGTGTACGCTGTCGGGGGGTGATGACTTGGATCCTGATCATGGGTTACTGTCGTCCATGGAGTCGTACGATCCACAGGAAGATCGTTGGCAGTTCGTGGCTGCTTTGCCGGATGAACTTCAGGAGTTTGCCATGCTGGCTTTGGATCAACGGTTGTTCGTATTTGGCGTACTGAACGCACATGGGGAAAGTGTTGACAGTGTCTACTGCTACGATCCCGTAGAGAACTTGTGGAATAAAATGGCCGATATGCCGACGGCTCGATCTTGCTGCTCGGCACTCGTGACTGGATATTTTGTCGCTGCCTGATACATCTCTTACTTGGTGATTCAGGCAACACCATCAGGCAACGGATTACAGCTGTTAGTGCGTGCGTGGGCGGAAAGGTTTTTGTCCTGGACGGAGAAGACAGATCGATCGAATATTACGACGAAGACGCGGACACGTGGACGCTGCACAACTGCCAGATCCCGGAATCTAATTCCCTGGTCGGCTGCGCTGTGATGACAATGAAGCCGGGTAATAAACGGGGATAACGCCATAATAGTACTAGCTGATTTACCAGCAGATTTTCTACATTCATTGTAGGTTCGCACTTGACTGACAAAGGGGACCAGTAGTTGTATTCTGCCTGAAGAGCGCCGAGATAATCGTTAAATAAATTCATGGAGCACTGCCGTGGTGCAGTTCCCATTCAGCGCGTGTTGGCAAATCCTCCTCTGGAAGACATGTTTTTTTCCCCGCTGCATACTGTGCTTCGCGGGCGCTACGTACACTTCTGTACTTCGAAGTATTGTTTTTTGCTTTGATATTTGGTTTTTATTTATGTGAAATGTTTACAATCTACTGTCATTAAAAGTTCACTCGGATAGTGCTGAAGACAATAAATTTCGTTCAAATCCAGCTTTGTGAGTGTTTTTGAATACAGTATCTTTGCTCCGAACTCGTTACTAACGGTTCTTTGGACTTCTTGAATGCAATGAAGCCGGGCAATCAACGGGAAATAATCCAGCAGTAGAGTGATATAGCTCGATTTGGGCACAAGAGAACGAATTCATGAATCACGGTTCCGAAAAACGTGGAGGTGTTTGATTTCCTAACATTCCGGGCTGATTTGCCACCCGCCCAAGGATGGCATATACGGTTGAGGCATCGAGTGTCAATCTTGCCATAATGCCATTAACTGGATAGATTGCAGCTTAATGACTTGTAGTCGACAACAAGGGCAGTTATTCATACAGTCATATTGTCCAATTAGTTATAAACTAGTGGTGGTTGTTAACCACATCATTGCACCGAGCGCGAGCGCCGGTCCGCTGGGAATGTGCAACTACGAATCGACATGGCGCACCGCGAACCCAGTTCTGATGGCGCTCTTCCGGGATGGTGTAACCAGCGTATATGTAATATAAGCTCGCTGGTGCAAGTTTTGCGCTGGCGTGTTTCAGTTTATTGTTACGATCCCGTGATCTACTGTCAATCTGGGAAATAACGTTCAGTAAAGCACTACAGAACACTACATTTAGGAAGACATTCAAAAAAGATTTCGCCGTGGATAAAAACAAATGGTCTTATCGAAATTCTGACTAGAAAATTTCGTGCTAAAGTATTAACGACACCAAGTATTATTGCGCGCTTCCAATACCATTAGAAAACGATGTTAATGACATCCTTGAAACAGCGCGTACGCTATGAAATACCACTGCCAATGGAAATGAAAATTTGTGGAACTGGAAAAGCGTGACCGACGCTTTTCGTGGGCGACAGACTAACTCTGCTACGGGAAGCGTATACTCTGCTACGGAATACTATGAATGCGTGCATCGCTTGACGAAGGCATAGAGTAGCACCTCACGCTTCGCGCTCGGTGCAGACTAACATAAAGCTATTAAAAAGGAACCCAGACATCAGATATTTCGAAGGAGTGCATTTAATTCTCTACGTTGATTGTGAACCGAGTTTACCCAGAACTAGTACCGTACTTCTTTTTCCTACCAACTACTCCAGCATTATCCATTGAACCAAGACCAAGCATCCTCTGTCATGGCTGAGGAATTTCTTCGGGCACTACTAAATATGAAAGCCAAGGGGGCTCTCTGTGATGTCGTCATGAAAGGCGCTGAGGATTTGTCAGATGGCATTCCGTGCCACCGCAACGTACTCAGCGCGCACAGCTCGTATTTCCTCACAATGTTCACGAGTGGTCTGAAAGAGTCGTCCGAATCCAGTGTGCAGCTCCACAACATCTCCACGAGCACTCTGAAAGCGTAAGTTGCACCCGCACATGGTCCTTGTGGGTATAATAATGTTGTATTGTTGTTATATTATTATAGTTTATTGCAAATAAAATTGATTGCCGTAATCGTTTTGCTATTGCCTTCCGCAATGACTTAATTTATCCAGGCTGATTGATTACGCCTACACACTGGAAATCAAGATTGATGCAGACAACGTCCAGTCAATTCTGCTTGCGGCCCTGTTTCTGGACATTGTTCCCGTCGCCAACTTGTGCTGGGATTTTGTGGAGAAGCACATGGATGTCTCCAGTTCCTTGATGATTCACTGTTTGGCAGATAGGCACAGCAATGCACGCGTGGCCGCCAAAGCCAAAGCCATGGTTCTCAGCTATTTTCTCCAAATCTCACGGAGCGCTGACTTCCTACTCATCGACACACAAAAGGTCCTTGGTTCAAAACAATGAGGAGATGTTTCGGTTATAGCATGTCCATAGAATTCAGAAGCCATTTTTGTAGTTGACCGAGCTTATTGCATCCGACGATCTGCGCGTGGACAAAGAGGATAACGTGTTGGAAGCGGTTTTGCGCTGGCTGGACTACGACACAACCGTCCGAAAAGCGCAGCTCTCCGATGTGCTGCAGTTTGTGCGAGTCGGCTTCCTGGGTCCTACCTCCCTGGAACAGTATTTCTTGGTGCTTTTGAATAGCGTTAACAGCGCGCCTGCTCCCGATTTGCCCTCCGGCGTTAACCGTGAGCTCCCGAAACGTCAAGCAGGGGCAATCGCGGCTCGATGTCGACCCCGCGAATCGTACGGTGAGACAGTGTTGCTAGTTTATACTTCTATTTAGGTCCTCGGGGCCGTTGGCGATAATACAGTCAATTTCCTAAGTTTTAGTTCGAACTTACTGCAGTGAGTGTGGACTGTGTGGTTATATGCGCCTGTACTTGCTGTACTACCGTTGCACGCATACCTTTGACCATCTCGCTGATTTAAATGTGAATGAATCTATGTGAACGCACCAAACCAAAAGCACACTCACTCTCGGTAAGGCTGTGTGTAACTGAGCCCTTGTTTTCACCTCCGAGTCAAAAATTAGGAAACAGGTTGTAAATGGTCGAAAAGCATAAAGTATCTACAAATCTTTATGACTAGAAAGTGTTGACTAGGATACATTCAGGACAATTTTGTCAGCAGAAACCGACGATGCAGAAACGGTGACACGGATGTTGCAACCGGCCGAAGTATGACAGTATAAGGTATCCGGGCCAGGACATAGTTCGCTAGTTCAGTGTATCCCATACGGGGCAACATAGATCTCAATCTGCATAGTTTACATGATAATATTGCAACGGCAACTTCTAAGCTGCCACTAGTGGAGTGGGTTACACACCCGTACCACGATAAAACGAGGTTTGATGGTTCGTCGGTGACCGTCGGCGATGTTACGAGTTAGCGAATTACCCAAAAGTCAGTTATGCAATTGCGAGCATGTTAACCGATACCGGCGCGATTGTCAAAGTGCACAAACATTTTTAATCAGCTGAAAAGTCATTGGGGAAGAGCAAGGGCAAGGGCAAGAGCAAGAATGATTTCAGAACATTCAAACAATCTCAGAAGTCTAGAAAATCCACGTTAGAACTGGTAATCTCGTACAAGTACACATTCAGATGTTTCCGGTTGAACTAGCACCAATGAGATGTACATCTTCACTACAGATCTCATTTGTACGGCTACAATATGTCCTAACTAAAAATGACTGCAGTACAATTGCTGACCTCCAGCTGCCGTGTCTCCGGCGGCAACGTGCAGGAAGCGGCGCATCTGACTCTGTCGAGGGTCGAATTAAGGAATTTTGGGGGAGGATATCAGTTCTGTCCTTCCCAGATTTAACATGGCTTTTTACCGTTGATTCTGTGGTGATAGGTTTGTGGAAAGCCATTGTTTGCGCTGGTGAGTTGGATGGCGACGATGGGGATACTCTATCTGTGGATGTTTTCATACCATCAACGTCGAGTGTTCTGCGTATCGCAGACCTCCCAGACAATATTGTGGCTCCCGGCTTAGCGCTGTTAGAGGATGGCTCGATATTGGCATGTGGCGGGTTCTCTGGTGCCAGCGCCTCGGAAGACCGAGTCTGGCGCTATGATACAGCGAAAAGTACATGGACCCAAGTCGAGTCAATGAACCATCATCGCTATGAACTGAGTGCGGCGACGTTGAACGGCCACGTCTACGCTGTCGGAGGAATTGCCTCGGATCGTCGGGTATTGTCGTCGATGGAGTTGTACGATGCGCAGAGAGATGATTGGGATTTAATGGCTAGTCTGCCTCATGCTCGGACAGCCTTCGCGATGGTGGCCTTTGAGAATCGACTATTTGTGTTCGGTGGCACGAATTCGCGTCAGCATATCGTGCAGACCTCTTACTGCTACGACTCAATCACTTATAAATGGAGCCAAATGGCCGACATGCCGACACCACGGTCCCGTTGCACTACGTGCGTGGGTACAAGCGGACTAATCTATGTGATCGGTATGTAAAAGGTTAGGAACGAGTGTCGTTACCCGTTATGTCAATTACGGTAGAACAGAAATTGTGGCTGCGCGGATTCGCCTTGTGTCCTCTCATTGCATGCGCTCGGTTGCGCGGTTATATTTGTATTAAGCGCCTGCCACTACTCGAACCACACTTAATATTTTTATGAAAGTCTTAAAGCATTTATAGCATTCTTGAATTCGGGTGAGTCGTTCTCTACCCGCTACCGATATGCGAGACAAGCAGGAGTGCCGTTTGTAGAGCTGGAAGTCTACCGCCATTGGCGGAGGTGAATTACAACTGTGAAAGTTAAGTGACGCCGGGGGTGGTACAGATTGCTGCGAGCACCACCGATTGTGCCTGGTTTATTCGGTCTCTTTTTATTTTGTATTGCGGTGGTGAAAGACATCATCATATCACGGCTCTGCTTTGACGTCATAAGCACCTTCGCTACTGCAGGGCATGCGATGCCCAGCGATAAGCGAATAACCAACAACGAATGAATTAATGTGATAATCTTATGTAGGGAAGAAGCATTTTCAACAGTAATTTAACTTCCGTTGATTCTCAACCGACCATAATTTTAATGAACGTGCATGCAGGTGGGTATAACCCTGAGAACGGGCGCTGCGTGGAGGCCTATGACATCGCTACCAATCAGTGGCAGAAAAAACGTACGTTTCTGTATCTCTCTACCGACAGACCATTAGTTTATCGTCAGTTTGTGGTGCAGTCAGCTGCTCCATTTTGTGTGGTCCGCTTTAAATCTGTAACCCTAATTCCGAACTGATTTAGAAAATACCATCGAACTTCGGGATTCCGCTGTCAGTGTATGCCTGGACGGAAAGATTTTTGTCATTGGCGGAACCACTAAGTCGATCGAATACTACAACGAAGATACCGACACGTGGACCCTACATAAATGCGTTCTGCCGGAAGCGAAGTATCTCACCGGTTGCGTTGTAATGTCAATGAAGCCAAGTGGGTTGAATCAAGTAGTATTTCATCCAGCCGATACAATTCGTAAAGATTACTAGTCTGTCAGTGCTTTCGTGATTTTGGATTTCTTTTCATTCAACTTACATTCACAATTCGTCTTCGCATTCCGGTCACTACTGTCATAGAGATCCGAAATTACCGGGATTGGTACACACGGAAGACAAATCTCTAGAATTCAATAACACTGCATTTTCACGGGTTTAAGGATGTTCCTTTTCCTTAAACCCATGGAAATGCAAAAAAACAGTATTTTCCCAGAAGTTAATAAAGTTTTATTTAACACAAAATGCACTAGGTCGATGAAATTAACAGATCGTAGCAGTTTGGTTTTGCGTTGTTGATGCAACGACTCACTTTGCGACCCCGACCCCGGCATGCAAAAATCATCGAAGTAGCATCCCATCGAAGTCTTTTGGTTGTGAATGGCCATCGCATTGCTATCACTTGTTCGCCGTTATAAGAGTGTATTGTTCCTTGCAGGTGCGAGTCTGGCTGATGGAGTCGATAAATAACATCCTCGCAAGCGGGTCATCGGTAATATCCAGAAGCGGATTCCTGGGACCGGGAGCACTGTTGCGTGTCGGTTCGGTGCGTGTTCTGTAGCATCGGTTGTTGACATTCTTGCTCGGAGTAGTATTCGTATGGATTATTTCTCATGGTTATTCTGTTTGTAGTAAAACTTACGTAGTGTATGTTCATTATTTACAACACTAATGTGAAATTTAATCGCGGGAAAGCGACTTTTGTATGCGATGGGAACTGTTAGTTGTTCTGACGACTGGAACTGTTGTCCTACATGCTTTTCTTAGTTATCGGATATTTAATTTCAAGGGGCATTTCTTCGTATAAGTTGAAACAAAGGTTATACACCAGATTTTGCAGCAATAATAACACGGGAATACGCATCGAGTTACGGACACAATGCGGCTATACAGAAGACAGGGGAGCTGCACGTCACCTGCATCAGTGGCAGGGATATTACTAAAATTCTTTTGTAGGAATTTTTCTAATCTTTGACACAGCAAAAACGTAGTACCTTCCGAAAGACAATCGAAACAAACACGTTAAAAAACTAAAACAGGACTTTCCAAAAAAAACGTTGCAAGACGTTCCAGACGTCGACGTTCAGTCTGATATGCCAGGAAAACTTCTCTCAACCGACATTTCATACCAGTACTGGACAGTGGAGCTTACAATGTATGGATTCTGGCTGTCCTGGTTGCCTCCCACTTCCCAACCTTTATTTGATTTATTTAAAAGTTAATTTATTCAAATTTATCTATTTACGAATTTATTTTTGGAATGTAATGACATGTCGGCCCAACATGGTTCCCATGCGCGTTAGTTGGACGTGGTCATCTCCTGCTTGACATACGGTCGCTAAAATGTCAAAGAATATTTTTCTTGAAACTCAATTTTTCTTTGCGGAGTTGCAATTTTCAAAAATGTAGTCCCAACCCTTCTAGTGCCCTAAATTAACAACACGTCCAAAACAATTAAAAACGAATAACCGCGCTGTTAGTGCCGAATCAAACGAATCGAATCAAAGCAACACAGAAAAGGTTATCGTTAAGGATTTTTCACGGTTTGAGTAGATCTGTCCTGCTGGTCAAATGTAACCTTACTATACTATACCCTTAAACCAAGGAAATGAGGGCTAAGTGTTTCGTTGAGCAATTTCCAAACACGACAGCCATCCGGTGGATTCTTCTACGCCGATACGGAAACAATGGGGCGCTTCTGACTGCTTTGCTGCATCCCTCGTTAACTTAGGGAGCACGATGTCCCCAACAGGCTGGTAGGACAAAAAAGCCAAGAAATAAACCTAGAAAAAATAACCGAATCACGACTTAACTAAATAGAGAAATTACCAAGCACCTAAACTATAAAACATTCAAATAAGTATAATGTTACAGTAACCATTATTTGTTGCTGCCTCTGCCTAACTCTGCGTGGAAGACACATTTCCAAAAATTTCAGCAACAGATCCTCCAGACAAATTAATAGCGACCGATACTTTGGACATTTCCGACGTCTTAACGTCGGAAATGACCGGTGAATCTGCGTAACCATACTCTTCCGCTGGATGCGGTTTTGCGGTGGCTGAAACACAACCAGGCGGGGCGAAGCGCAACACGAAGTGTACTTTAATTTTGTTCCAGTTGTGTCAAAAATCTTGCCCTTATTGAATATGGTTTTGTGATTCAATTCGGTTGTATACTAGTTAACGATTTATACGCCCGCCGGTATATACGCATTTGTACACTCGGGCAAAAACGCCGCAACGGCGTGTAACCGTCCAAAACATCTGAGACGTTTTGGCGCTTTAACCTTCAGTGGGACATGCAGGAAATGCAAAGACTTATTGTGCAAGTGCCCAGAATGCGGAAACATGACTACTCGTAGAGTCGTAGTTAAGGGAAGTAACCCGGTACGGCTACATGGTACCAAATTCGTGTACATGTACGAAAACTTCCGCTTTCGCGCACTCATAACACGTTTGTATTGCCTTATGGCACTGTGCAGCTAAATTTACATAATATACACTGCCGTGAAAACCGTTTGCGCGCATACCATTCGAAACTAATGACTCTCATTTTAGTTGAATCTGAAGCCTTGAAGTCGTTTTCGTAAAGCAGTTTTAAAGGACTGACTTATTATTTCTGCGGCTGTTTCTTATCAATTTTGTTGTTCGTTATTCAGAAAGATAGATCATAAGAATAATAACTGTAAAGTAAAAGCCCGTTCCAATATTAGTTGTTGAACCGCCCTGCAGCTTTTGAAAAATTGTTGTAAATAATAAGACTAATTATTTTATTGTGGCTGAGCGAACGTTGCCAGGCGACTGCCGTCCCCGAGCACATAACAGACGTCCTCATATCATTCAGTGTTTGATGACGCACATCTCGTTAGCTTCCTCGATTGCGGCCAAGCGTACATCTTTAAGATGACGGTAATGACAGAAGTACAGCGCGAGTTTTATGGAATTCGATTTGAGCATATTTTTCCGTGCTACTAGTTGCATATGATGACCTCGAAGTCATTAGATAGATATATTAAAGAATTCGAACATCCGTATCAGTTGTTTGAATTCATACAGAATCACCATTCTTTTTGGTATAGAATCTGGATCAAATTTTTAAACCGTATCAAAACAAGGAGAACTGCATTACGAGATTGAATAAAAATTGTAAGATCATTTTAGAGCTGATTTTCGCAACAATCAGGGAGTGAAGCCAAGCCTTGAGCACTGTTCAAATGTGCATTCGCGAGACAGGAATTCCTGCCTAACCAGCAGTTATTGATGGTTTAACAGTTTAACCGAACTACGGCGAAACGTACAACAGAATTACAGTGTGCGGCGCCTTGCGCTAATCGCAATGCGTTTTTTCGAGGGCGCCAATCGCTTGACAACGAAGCCGCGCAAGCCGCTAAGCCGACGCGGCCGCCGGCTAAGCCTCAGCCGGCTGGAATCCTTAGCCGGCGTAGACAGCCGGCCTGTCGTCGGCTACGGCTTCCAAAAACGCTTAGCCGGCTGGCTAATAGCCGGCTAAGCCGCGGCTTAGCCGGCTTTCAGCCAGCCGCTGCCATCTCTAAGCCAAGGAATGGCAAGCGGTGAGTGCCGTGCTTTGCGATACATATTATGAATCGTGTGTGCGCTGGGCAACCGCACACAGAGGGCTCTGGAGGCAACTTCCGGCACTGATATTTTCCATGGAATTAATATGCACGTGTCTGAAATGATGCAGTGCCAATCATACATGTGTAAAGGCTGGAGCGGCCGCTGACCAGGCTGAAGCCGAGAAAATACGGAAATACAGCTTCATGTCAGGACTATACGAGTTTGCTGCTGTCGGCTTCGAAACCTTCGGCAGTTGGGGTACATCGGGAAAGAGGATTGTTAATGAGATTGGAAAGAGGGTTTTGTTACAAACCGGCGAGATTCGTAGTCTTGAATATTTGAAACAGAATATTTCCTTAGCAATTCAACGTGGTAACGCGGCTTCTGTGATTGGCACTGTTGAGAATGTTAAGTTGTTTAATCGTAACTAGACCTTGATATTGTTATCCAGCTATTGAAATAAAAGAAGTACATCTGCCAGAACTGTAAAGAGTTAACTTTGACGGTATATTTAGTCATTTGGTTAGTTCTCGTCTCTCACTATCAGAACTGTATGCATAGTTACCAGTAATCAGACGATTTCATACTTGCAGGGTACTAATGCACAGATAATTAGACGATTTTGTTATACTTATAGAAAGTATTCGTTGAACTACGGTTGAAGTTTCCTCTCTCATGGCTGAGGGATATTTTCGAGAACTGCGGGATATGCAGACAACGAGGACTTTGTGTGATATTGTTTTGACCGGCGCGGAGGATTCATCATTTGGCATTCCATGCCACCGCGTCGTTCTCAGCGCGCACAGTTCTTACTTCCGCGCGATGTTTACTACGGACATGAAAGAGTCTTCCGAACCCAACGTTCAATTTAAAAATATTTCCACAAGCACGTTGTACGAGTAAGTTGCACACGGCGTTGATGTCAGTATATACCAATGTTTGGTTCTTTGCGGGTTGCTTGTGGCTGTGTTGCGGCTGTTGCCTGTTTGGGGAACAAATAACAGGGAAAGGGTTTATGAAAGGGAATAATTTGAATGTTTTCGTTATGTTTAAAGTAGAAACTACTCTACAACCACAGCGTCAGTGTTTAACGAAGGCAAAAGAGCTACAGTACTCAAATATTTCCAGATTGATAAGCTACGCGTACACTTTGGAATTTGAGCCCAGTGCGGACAACGTTCAGCTAGTTCTAACAGCGGCCTTGTTTTTGGACATTCTGCCCGTCGCTAAAAAGTGTTGGGATTTTGTGGCGGAGCGCATGAATATCTCCAATTGTTTGATGGTGCACTGCTTGGCCGACCAGCTTAACAATCCACCATTGGCCAGGAAGTCCAAAGCTATGGTTCTTCGCAACTTTAGCCAGATCTCAGAGAGTGCTGACTTTCTACTCATCACCGCGGAGAAGGTGCACTGATTCGCATCACACTGAGAGTTTTGCAGCGCAGTTATATCTCCTGTTTTGCAGATGGTAGACCTGATCGGTTCGGACGATTTGCGCGTGGAAAAGGAGGATGACGTACTGGATGCAGTGATGCGCTGGCTGGATTACGACCATGCCGGACGGAAGGCGCATGTTTCTGATGTAATGCAGTTTGTGCGGATAGACTTCCTTAGTCTTACGCCACGGGAGAACTTGAACGGCTTTATGAACTCACCAGCTGCTGCTTTATCACTGGAGTCCAGGAGCACTGGTGCACTGTCTAACCATCGAGCGGACGCCATCACAGTTCGATGTCGCCCCCGTGAATCGTACGGTAAATTATAAAAGTTCCCTTTTACATTGATAGTGACAAGTCGTTCACTGCTTTCGTTTTTCTGACTTCAGGCGTGCCAAAGGCAGTCATTTGCGTTGGTCAGTTGAATCCTAAAGAGAATGGAAAGAAAACTCGTATGGCGTTGATGATGTTCATACCGGCAACGTCAGTCGTGCAGCGTCTAACGTATCTGCCAGAAAATTTTGATGGGCCTGCCTTGGGGATGTTAGAGAACGGTATCATCTTGGCATGCGGAGGACGGTCAAAGGGCCTGTCGGAGCGCCGGGTCTGGCTGTATGACACAAGCAGCAACACGTGGAACGAGCGCCAAGAAATGAGAGAGAAACGTTACGGAGCGGGCGTGGTGGCGCTTAATGGGCGTATTTATGTTGTGGGCGGTGTTGATCGTCGAGCACGAACACGGGGTCGTCGCGTGACTTCCGTCTCTTTGTCATCCGTGGAAGTGTACAACCCGACACAGAACAAATGGAAGTTGGTGGCACCTCTGCCGGTCGCGCTGCTGGATTTCGGGCTTGTGGTCTTTGATAATCGGCTGTTGTATTCGGAGGAGAAACTGCAGAATCAAAAGAGGTCCGCAGTGTCTACTGCTACGACCCTGTGGAAGATGTGTGGACCAGGCGTACCGACATGCCGACGGAGCGACGTTCGTGTACGGCATGCGTGAGCCCCAGCGGACTAATTTACGTAATCGGTAAGGATTATGGTCCAGTGCAGTATGACTAACTAAAATCGTAATGCATTAAATGAGTTATACATGGTTGGATGCAAAGGGCAAAAGGAGATGCTTAGTTTTAACAGATGCTTCGATTTCTCGATCTGGCACGCCACATCGGAGCGGTCCGGGATGGCAGTAGCCGGCTTATGAACTTTACCTAGAATCATCAGTGACGAAACTATAAGGTTCTTCCAACGCAGTGTTGGATATTTGTCCGTACTGAATGCGTCTCGGTTGTGCACTGGTTATTGTTGTAATTTTTGTTTTGCACAGCGGACGACTGACCGCCTGCTTGCCAGTTTTTCTCCTCTTATATTTGTACATATGATGATAAACGAGATGCTATCTGCAGGTAGGTCGGCGGATGCGGCTGAAACTGGACAGTGTGTGGAGGCTTATGATGCAGCTACCGATCAGTGGCATAAAAAGAGTGCGCAAATTTTCCGTACACGACTGACATCACGTTCGTGTAGTAACGGTATTGCGTTTTCTTTCATACCTTTTCAGAAAATATGATAGTAAACCGCTACTCAGCGGTCAGTGCCTGCGTCGGGGGAACGATCTATGTTGTGGGTGGAGTGGATGAACCTGAAGAATATGTTGAGAATACTTCCATCGAATATTATGACGAAGACACCGACACATGGACTCTCCACAGCTGCCAGATGCCGGAAGAGAGAGAACTCACGGGTTGCGCTGTGATGACCTTGAACGCCGGCAAATCACTGTGAATAATTGTAGCCGAAAATGGTCTTGGTGGCACTTTTGGTTAGCGGTTTGATTACTCCAGTGTCGGAGCGTTTGACGAGTTAGAGCATTTTAAAAAGCCATGGATTCGTTCTAGAATGGTGATGGTTTTAGAAAGGGATTCTTGAAATTGTTTACTGCCTGATTTCATGAATTTCCGTGTTGGACAGGGCTTTTTTTGAGCGGTGTGCAGACAGTACAGACTTTCATTAAGTGTTTAGGAACATAGACTGTAGATTCTGCTTTGTTTTGACGTTTGCACAAATCAGCACAATCGCTGATGCTATAATTGAATTGGTCCGTGATGTACAGAGTACATAGCTCTGTTTGGAAAGTGTGGTGCAGTGTCCTTGTGGTGCGTCCTACTTCTGTTGTTCTTTGTGAAACAAACTTTGTTTACTAAAACGCGTACAAGCTTCCGAACAGTCGGGATGGTTGCAACAGTGCGCCTTTCAGTTTTGGTACCACCTGTATGCCTACCGGGACATCGTACCAAATTTGTGTACAAGCGGATCCATTCGCTTTCGAGCACCCCACAACACTTTAGAACATTTAAAATCCGGAAAACTGTGCTACTCGAACTCAGCGCAAAACCATCTTCAAACTCATGTCCGCTCACTGTGTACATAAGTGCAGAATTTGAAGAAGACTATTACATTTTAAAGTAATCAGACATTTTGGTACTCTGTACACTTGATTGCGTTAAAAGTTTTGGAAATTTCCTGCTGTCATCGTTGCGCACACAAACAAGTTTCACCTCGATGTTACAAATCATTCTGCTACAAAATGTCACGAATTATTCAACATATGCAAAAACGCTTTCGGGATAACGCATTCGTAATAGTTCTCGTGCCAGATTCGTTAATATGTGCTGGGCCACTGTTGGAGTAATTTCCACAAGGCTGGATGCGCTTAATAACTGCTTATTGTTAGTGTTCAGTATAAACTGCCTATTTTACCAGTGTTCATTTGTATACTACCCAATAAAGTAACTTACTGCTTATAGACCAAAAGCGCAAATCAGAGTGACTCAGACCCAGCTGACAGACGGACAGTAGTGCAATTTACACTCTGTATGCGAATAGTGCTCCCTGCATGTACAACCGCCCACAGCGCTGAAGAAGGCGTCCGGCACCGGCACTTTCCATGAGGCGCACCGTTACGACTGTCTCTAGAATAAACTGTATCTCTCACACAGCTTAGCGTCATCCGCGCTTGTGCGCACATTAAAACTCCAGCGGTCTGCCAGTTGCTGGTCTTTGTCGCGCTGAACTACTTCGTGTTGTTTTTGAGCAGAAGGATTTCGATAACTGCGTAGTACTTATTCTGGTATTTGTGCAATTTACCCAGATTCAGTGAAAACAAAATTAGACTTGCTCTGTCATGGCCGAAAAATTCTTTCGGGAACTACAGGATACGAAGGCCAAGGGGGCCCTGTGTGATGTTATGGTGAAAGGCGCGGAGGATTCGTCGGCTGGCATTCCCTGTCATCGTAACGTTCTCAGCGCGCACAGTCCGTATTTCCGCACGATGTTTACGAAGGGCCTCAAAGAGTCTTCCGAATCGTTCGTCCAACTAAAGAACATTTCCACGAGCACATTGAACGAGTAAGTCACTAACGGCGTTAAACTGAATGTGATCAAATGCACGATTCTTGCGGGGTTCCTGGTGATTGTGGGCCTGGTGATTGTGATTGTAGTTGTGTTTAAGGCAAGCAAAGGGAAACGTGAAACGGTTTGAAAAAGGGAACAATTAGACTTTATAGATCATTTCCAATCATAACATTAATTTTTGACGAAGGCAATATATAATAATTGGTTACTCTGTGCAACAATTTCAGGCTAATCAATTATGCCTACACGCTGGAAATCCGGATCGATGCGGATAATGTTCAGCCGATTCTAACAGCGGCCCTGTTTCTGGACATTGGACCCGTTGCTGATTTGTGCTGGGATTTTATGGAAAGTCACATGGATATCTCCAGTTGCTTAAGGCCATGGCTAGTTTGGCTTGGCAGGGTGTAAAAGGTGGCAGTGGCACCTGCCACTGGCAATTGCCACTGGCACTGGCAGCGTAGTGGCAAGCGGTAAAACATGGCAACTGGCAACCGCTAATATACTATACTATGTTTTATAGTAACTAAAGAAATTATAAAACTGCAATCATCAGAAAACTAAAAATACCGTTTTTATTTTCAACTTCAGCTCATTACTAGATCTTCATGGACATCTTCTGCGTCTGATGTGATAGAATTACAAAATCGTCATCGTAGAATCCGTACTACAAAATCGCAGTTACAAAACGAACTGCTTATGTTCGTAAAAAAAGTATTTGTAATCTATGATACCCAGATTCGAAAATAAGACAATTCAAAACTCTGTGGTCTGGGATATAACAAAATCAGCCTCAACCGTACCATTGTTTTGGTAGCCGAGTTCCGGGCACAGATTTTACGACGAGAAAACACTCTACGACTTACCATGTCTGCCCGGGAAATGAACACTTTGCCACATACAAAACTGAACCTAAATGCAATTTTTGCATTTCAATTTTGAATACTTTCATTAGCCGATATCGATATGTTACAGTTTGCACCCGTCTAATTTTCGAACCATAGCTCACGTCACATCAGAAATTTATATCTAAGAAATAAATCCTAAGACATCTAAGAAATCAACGAAACCTAAATAACCTAAGAAATACCAACAAGCTCAAGAAGTGACCATGCAGTTTACCGATGAAACGGTGGCTACACAGAGAAGGAAAACTTTAAATTAACATACGGAATAAGTGCATCTGCCACGTGAACAGAAGCCATGTGTGGCAGATGCAGTTAGGTGAGTCGGTGCATTTGCCACAATTTATACCCCACTTTTTGTAATAACTTAGAACATTGTACGGTGTTGCAGCGCTCACTGTGTTGATGGACACAGTAAAGGTCTTACGCCGGGGTATGCAAAAATAAGCGGTATCACTGCCTTTGAAATTTGTTTCTTTCTAAACTGAATTTTCTTGGTCGCACAACCATTTCTAGCTGTTTTTGCATTTCTGAAAATTGCCATGTTTTACCGCTTGCCAGTCGCGAAATGGCGCATGCCATTGCCGGTGGCAACTGCGTGGCAGGTGCCACTGCCACCTTTTACACCCTGCCGTTTGGCTTTATTCAGATGAAGAAGGTCGGTTTTTTAAGTTTTTTGAAATCGTATTTTCTTTTTTGATACTTTGTTATATCCAGTTTAAATTGAGAAAAATTCACAACTTAAAACCGGAAACACACAGTTTAAACACACAGTTTGGCTTTAAACACACAGTTTAAAATGTGAACTGAATAAATCACGCTAAAAAATTAACTAGTCTTCAGGCAACCATACAGAATTTTAGATAGTCCACCCAGAAAATCGTAAACGTAGACCTCCTGCACCTTGCGAGGGCTTTTTTTGAAAAAAATTTTTTAAACTTCACAAACTTAAAAAAACACATTTAGGGTTTCGATTTTCGTAAATAACTTGAGTTAAAACAATTTTTTTCAAAATCGCTCTCGCAATTATACTTCTAAGGTATTTCCACACCCAGTGCATCAAGTTTAAAAATTATGTTAGATCGCCTGAATTAGGAGTTAGTTTTCAAACTTTATCTGGTGCAATTTGAACGGTAGTCTTCGAAAGTTCATGCAAGTTTATATCACTCATGGGCATGTTGAATGTTTCAGCCCACCACACATATCAAACCATAGTGACTATCCAGACAGCCATTGCCCGCTTCTTACCACACTTGAGTGTGATCAAAATCTATTGTCTTTCGGTGTTTGCTTTGATTCCGCTGACCAGTGCTCCGTTTTATGGCTGGCAGTAGAACAAAAGATGCGTATCCCGATTCTGTGCTCTCCATTGATTTCATCGCAGGTGCGCTAACTTGCATATGCGTTCGTAATGGTGAGCCGGGCCAGTCACTGCTAGCATCGTTACTCAGTTTAGGCAGCTAACTTAAAAAATTTATATTTCATAACCCTGGAATTTTATCAGTTCAATGTTTTTACCATCGGATAGAGCAGTCTTCAATCTGTAAAGCGCCTTACTTCTGCAAAATGGCCTGTTATGAATAAAGCCGAACTAGCCATGGCCTTAATGATTCAGTGCTTGGCCGATCGACATAATAATCTAACCTTGGCCGCGAAAGCCAAAACCATGGTTATTCGTAGTTTTCATCAAATTTCAAAGTGTCCTGACTTTCTGCTTATCGATGCAGACAAGGTGTGCAGCAGTTTTCACTGATTCGCAGCAAATCAAGAATTACAGTACAGTGACATCTCTTGCTTTTTACTCTGTAGATTGCTGATCTGATTACGTCGGATGATCTGCGCGTGGACAAAGAGGATGACGTGCTGGATGCGGTCCTGCGCTGGCTGGACCACGATCAAGCCGGACGGAAGGCTTCCCTCTCCGATCTGCTGCAGTTTGTGCGAGTTGTCTTTTTGGGGCCGGTCTCCTTGGAGAAGTATTTCTTGGCGCTCTTCAATGGCCTTATCAACTCAGCGACTCCCCCTTTGCCACTGCCATCCGGGATTGTTAGCGTTCTACCCAACCGTCAAGCAGAGCCCGTCATGTCTCGTTCTCGACCGCGGGAATCGTATGGTAAGACTAAGGCTCTTCTGCCGCATTTTTCTACCGTGCGTCAAAATAGCCTTTTGCTATTTTGCCGCACACTGCGTTTAAACAGATTTTTGCTATTTTGCCGCACTATGCCGTGACTATGGTCCTAGCTAATTTGCCACCGTAAAGGTACGTTTATCTAGAACCATATTTTGTACTTAATTTGAGTTATTGCCGGAAACCGACTTATCTCGCTGGAATTCTTGGGAAGGAAGCACATTCTTGGGAAGGTTCTTTTACAACTGGGACAAAATATTGCGCATGGATCTAGCCGAGAATGGACGGCTTCACTGAGTGTCTATTCGCAAAGGATACTTTGACAGCCATTTCTATTCGGTTTCAAATTGGCGCCAAAAAGCCCATTCAATGAAAGGTGAACAGACCACAAAAACCTTTTTTTTCAGCTGTTATAAGCGGCAATGTATAACATGTCGGTGCAACATGGTTACCATGCGTGTGAATCCGACATGGTCATCTCCTGCTTGACATATGGTCGCTAAAATTAAAAAAAAATATTTTCTCTAATTGAATTTTGGAGTCCCAGACTGCCAATTTTCAAAACTATAGTTTCATCCCTTCTAGTACCCGGTTTTCCTGGATTAAAACTACTACAGTTTAAACCACTACTACAGCTTAAACTACAGTTTAATTTCAACCGGAAACTGCCGCAAAATAGTTACAGGCTATTTTGCCTGCCATACTGCGGCAAAACAGCTAAAGGCTATTGTAACGCAGTGTGCGACAAAATAGTCACAGGCTATTTTACCGACCATAGTGCGGTAAAATAGCCACTTCGTTTTCTTTTGCTTTGAGTGATTAAGTAGACGCAGGAAGCTGATAATATATTTTGACGGACTCTTAAGTAGGAAGTGTAATTTTATTAGAGCAAGCCAGTCAAGACGGACTACAGAGTAATTAGTTTAGATGAAAGAAACCGCATACGAAGTTAGGAATTACTGCGCAGGGTAGTAAGTAGGAGTAGGAAGCAGAAACTTCCGCTGACCATTCGAGGTCAGAATGTCAGTTGACTGACTGGCATACTGTGATGGCATTGTAGGAAAAGTAAGAAAATTTGCATATTCGTACTGTATCTAGGGGAAGAGCCATAACAGTTTCGAAAATATGAAAGCCGCTTTGCGTATTGCGCTACACAATACATAGTACAAAACGAAGAAGAAGCTAAACTCGGCGAATTCCAGATTTTAAAATAGCAGATTCCTTGGCTTTCGTAGATTTTTAAAAGTGCTTAGGTTTCCCGTAACTTTTAATGCCGGAAAATAGTCGATGGCTACTCTGAAAATTGCGGTAGATTAGTACAGAGCTGTTTGGCGCATGGAGCAGCCAGATCCAATGAGGCTGAAGAGCAGAAGGCTACTATTTCGACCACCGGAGAATACTGCGGCAAAAGAGGGTTAGCCTTGTTTTGGGGTTGATAGGTTTATGGAATGTACGTTGGTGAGCCGGCTTTGGGAAGTGGGGAATGCACTGACGTGGACGTCTTCATACCATCAGTTTCCAGTGTCATGAGCATTTCAAGTTTGCCAGACAACATTAAAGGGGCCGGCTTGGCAGTGCTGGAAAACGGCTCGTTGTTTGCACGTGGCGGTCATTCGCCGACTGCCCAGTCCGAGGATCGAGTCTGGCGATACGATAGCGTTCGCAATGCTTGGACCGAAGTCGAACCGATGATAAACCGGCGTAGTAAAATGGGCGTGGCGGCGCTGAATGGTCGCATCTACGCCGCTGGAGGAACGAATTCGCATGATCGGGTTTTGTCATCGATGGAGTCGTACGATCCAGAGTATGATCGTTGGCAATCCGTGGCGCATCTGCCGGTGGCACTGACGGCATTTGCCATGGTAGCGTTTAACAGTCGGCTGTTCGTGTTCGGTGGTGTGAATTCAAGTTGGCAAGCGGTTAACAGCACTTACTCCTACGATCCGGCAACGAATACATGTGGGTAAAGTTGGTGGACATGCCGACGTTTCGATTCCGCTGCTCTGCTTGCGTGGGTCTCAGTGGACTGATATACGTGATCGGTAAGGAATGAGTATGGTACGAGGTAGTTGTCCTGTTATCAGAAGGTTGGCATCTTCTGAAAAGCAGACCTGCTCTATCCGTCCAAAGCTAATTTTCCACAGCCGATGTAAGTGGATTTGCTTTTGAAGATATGTGTCTAAGCATAGGTCAAATTCTAAGCGAATCTAGCTTTGGTATGGTTGCTCAGCCGCACGAGTTGGCTGACACGCACTGGCCATGTAAAGCCACCTCGCGGGACTCGCGATTTATCGTAACTCGATTCGCCTCTTCTATGAGGCCCACGCTAATAATCCTCATAAAGTTCATCTAATGACAGTGGGCTATAGCGTATTTACTGAACATATAGGTGGATCGCACACGGAACACTGCGTGGAGGCCTACGATCCCGTTGCCAGTCAGTGGCAGAAAAAACGTATGTGCGCTACTCATAGTTTTATATGTTGTACATGCACGTATTTGTACATGTAAAATACATACGTCCTTCGCACTTCAAACATTTTGGCTGTACGGCTTCACGAATCGGACACTCAGTTGCATATACCTGCTGTAAGGGAATAATTCAGCCATCTTTCCATCGGTCGCGCAGTCGGTTATACCGGATCTGAGAGACGCTCTAGCTTCTCTTTACGAGATAGCTATCCGCACATACCTACCGCTGAGCGCTCGGTTCGTGAAGTCATTTAGCGAAACGTCACAAGTGCGAAGGATGTTTAAGTTGGTTAACTAATAACTAGGACTTGTACTTCGACAAGACCTTCAACATGTACTTGTGTTTGTACCTATTGAAGTGGTACTTGTTGGTTATTACCAAGCTTTACTGCAAGTTGCCCTGCGCTCGTTCTTATTCGTGTTGATTCAGAAAACGCAATCGGACATCGGGATTGGGCTGTTAGCGCGTGTGTGGACGGAAAGATTTTTGTCATGGGCGGAATGGACAAATCGATCGAATATTACAGCGAAGACATAGACACATGGACTCTGCACAGCTGCAAGATGCCGGAAGCGAAGCGTCTCTCTGGCTGCGCTGTGATGACAATGAAGCCGGGTAGACTATTTATCTAAAAAATACTGTTTAGTTAATGTTTTGACTTAACAGGAGATTAGGTATGTGCTGTATTGTAGGTATGAATTCAAATATGGAAATGGAGAAGTGACAGTGTATGAACAGCACGGTTCCCTTCAAACCAATAAGATTAATGTGGTATTTGTTTGATGATTCCTGGAGCCCAGTTTCGTATTCAGTTTTTGTTCCAGCGGCTGTCGAGTGTCAGATTTTTTTTGACTGGTTGCTATTTTTTATTTTTCAGCATTATTTTTTAGATAGGATAGAAATAGATTAAAGTTCAATTATCACTAAGCTCACTAACGATTCAGTTTGGATACTTCGGTTGATTGGGTGTGAGTCTCGCGTGCGCTGCGCATTGTTCGTATGGGTCTGTAATGACTGCGTATTGTGAAGTGCTTGATGGTACAGTGTTGTTTCAGAAATACAGCTTGTAAAGTAGGTATGTGCTAGTGATCACTTCGACTTCTCATTTATTTCAGAATTCAGCGTGTTTGAATTTTTTTAAACGTCCCTAAATATATTCTGTTTGGTTAGAATGTCGAGTGTCTAATTAAACCGTATCAGTTCGAAAAAGAGATTGCATAAAAAAATTTACTAAATAACAGTCTTAGGTATCAACGAAAGTGATACTTTTCTTGCCACTTGAACCAGAACACGAGAACTGTTAAAAGACCAAAGTGCAGGTTTTTATTGTCCGAGGGCCCTTTCATAAGTTTTCGCCTTTGATACGAACCAAAATTAATAAAATTATGATCTGATTTTTCAAAAACTGTAGCATTCATAACTAGATCATAGGGCAATGGCCGAGGTGATACCTCCCACGGCTGGCGACTGGCATCTGTTCGTGCAAAGGCACCCGGGCTCAAAATGCTTCGCGTCAATAATGAGTTAACATTTTACCGACCGCGGATTTTCCTTACATATTTCAAGAAATTGCTAGAAAAGAACACTGGAGTTTTATTTCTTGGCGAATTATTTATTCTTTTCCTTGATTCATTGCCATCACGTTCTAACGTTTGTGGACTGGTTAAGCTATTTCGAGCTGGGCAATCTTCTGTGACGTAGACCAGGGAATTGAGGAACCATACTTTAATGTTTACATCTAGACAACGTCTCTTCTAAAACAGCCACGAACAATAATAATCTCGTTGAACCATGAAAGCAATAGCAGAGGGACTAAACATTTAGGAAGCAATGGTTTCAAGGAATCGCTGCAGCTCCTCGCAGATAAGCTTGGAGAAGATTGACTTTGACACGGTATAGCCTCCGCACGGGGCAACCCCAAGATAGCTCGCACCTACACTTTTCGTCCTATCTCTCATTTGTTTTGCAACATCACGCAAGAATATCTTGACGCAGCCATTTTATCCACATAGCCTAACCTTCTACTAGTTCAAAATAATTTTCACTTTAAATGCAATATGAGATGTCTAAGAGCAAAAAGCATAAAAAGAAGAGAAACAGAATTTTTATGGCTCGATCTCCTCTTTACCGCGTCATTTTTCTTTGAATTCGTTTCAAGAATTGGGGAGCAGATGCCTGCAGAGCAGACAGAGTAGAGAAGTAGATTTTATGGATTCGAAAAAGTAAATTTGATTTAGTTCAAAACCGTGCAGCAAAGACTAAAACTTATGAAAGGGCCCTCGTAACTGATTAGCTGACTGAAAATGACTAGAAATAATAGAATGACTTTGGTGGACTGAGGCGCTCTTTAAATGTATGGATCGCGATCGCATACGATAAACGGTAATTCATCGATATCACATAATCATTATTACGACGCAATATGTAGTGAGTAATCATGAGCTCAATATTATCTCCTTGTTCATGGCAGGTAATCTTGACGGACACCTGGCGGAAACGTGTATAAGTCGTCGTGACATTTCTTTCGCTGTTGGTTAGCCCTTATGGCAATTCCAGTTCTCGGATCTCTGTGATCTGTACAATACATTAAAACGTTTGATTAAAGCCACAAACGAATGGTGTTTTATTAAAACAGTTGCACTGGCGTTTGACAACATGGCAACTAGAAAGAGCAAACTTACCACTGTATTTAAACGCGACAAAAGTTGCATGGCAGTCATCCTTCGTTGAACTTTTCTATGCAGACAGTCTTGAATGCAGTACCGTATGGCGTCTGGTATCGTCTCAGAAATATAATGGCTGTACCCGCTGAGCAATAAGGAAATGTAACGATCGGTTTCAACCGTAGCATCGATAACTACTTTTCTACCCGCTTTGCAGAGGGCTTTCTCGTGCTGGCCTGTTATACAGTTAGCCAACCGTAGAAAGACACATCCCAAACTCCAGATATCGCTTTTCAGCCCATGAGCTCCTTCGTTTCTTACGTTTTGCTTGTATGTGCTAAAGTCGGGTGTTCTAATATAGTTCGTTAGTTCCGGAGATGTATAATCCCAGTGAAATTTATCATAGTAGAGTTCCTGCTCCTCGTCTTCGAGGGTAGGGCTGACAGGAGAAATATTTTCCAGGCTGCCGATTAATAGTCTGTCTTCTGCATTGTTAAGCCGCTTTATCAATATTGTCGCAGGTGAAAGTACCCCGTGCATAAAATTTCTTTCATGCAAGAAACTGAGCCCCGACGCAATTTGCTCCACATACGTCAGAACTGTGACTGCGTTAAGGATCACTGCGTCGTTTCGAAGAGTCGCGATGCGCCTGCCGAGATCCAAACCTAAAAAACATCGGCAACATTATCAGAATTGAAGGAGCATAAAACACTCATACCGCCGCATCAATCCTACCTGGGCAGTAATCCGTCATAAATTCAATCTTTGCTCCGATTGGTGTTGAGGAAACCCGAATGTCGTGATACATTATTAAATTGGGATGTTGAAACTGCTTTAAATTGTCAAAATTTCGGGTGCATTGCCTTACAGCTTCTTCATATGTGTCACCGTTATAATTGACAACTCTGATGGCAACAGTGTTGTTTGCGCACCTTGTTTTATAAATATATGTAAAACGCCCCATGCAGACGAAATCTTGTGCGCCGTAATGAAAGTGTCGACTGAAACTTGGTGCTTCCATTGCCGAACCCCTCCGCTCGATTACGGTATCTGGCGAAGTCATGATAAATAATTAAGAAATCCCAGACACAATCCAAATTTTCTAGTGAAGGCCGAGGAAATGAATTTTAAACAAAACAACTGCGTATATCCAGCAGCTAAAGCTAAAAACCATGCATCGGCTTATATCTCCCGCTCGATAATATGGGCTCTTAGATTACATAGCTTGTTGAAATGTTGCTAAATTCTTGCTGCTAGCGAGCTAAATTACAAAGTGATAAGGCTGCAGCCACCGTGTTTTGTCTTGCACTTGTACATGTGATACTGATATAAACTTTTCCATCTGTATCTGTTTTATCTCTTACATACTAGTGATACAGTATCAGTCTCACAAGAGAGAGATTAAACAGGCTGTGGTAGTTCTTTTGCACACAGAGTCAAAATAGCCTGCAGTTTAGGTTCTTTAAAATATTTTGTAAAAAGTTGAAGAAAATTAAGAGAATGCCTTGTAGGAGCGACGGTAGCGCGATCTCAACAACATATCCCCCAGACAAATTCATAGCAGCCGATACTTCAGCCAATTCACGCTTCTTACTGATGGAAAGTGAGTTCGAATCAGCCATACTCTCCACGGTACACCGTCGTTTAGCCGATTCGTCTTCAGCTACATTAATCTAATACAAATAGGGAAAATTATTTTTGGAATCTCCTTTGTAATAATAACGACATCTTCAAAAATAAATATTCAAATCAAATCAAATCCGGATCTTCAGTCGCCTTTCCCGCCACCATCACCACCAATGAAACGAAACACCTTATTAAAAAAATAAAAATGTTCTACAAAACTGCAGAATCATGGTACTGCTCACGCAGCACACGACGTTGTGCAAATAATGTTTAATCGGAACAACACATGATCACTAATTTAATCACAAATTTAGTGAACTTCAAAATTACGAAAATTTCGAAAAACTGTAACACGATTAATATTTACACAACATCCACTGGATCGTTCTTCATTTTCAATACGCCCGAAACTGACAGACACAGCATTTTGGTGAGTCGAACGTGCTGAACGCAGCCACACTGTCCGGCGGACAGTGTCCGTTTGCGGTGATAGGTTTATGTTGCGGTTTATCCGTAACATTTGATTACAGTTTACCGACATTTGTTTGTAAACAAAAAATTGTTTGTAAACAAAAAACGTTTGTTTATAAAAATTTGTTTACAAACATTTTTCTCAAAATGAAAAACATTTTCTTGCAGCATTTTTAAAAAAAGTTGTTTACAAATAAACATTTGGTTGCCAAACTCTTACCCTTTCGGTGCACCATATTGCTCGGTATGCACTATGCCGATTAGCGTAAATCAGCCTTCTCGAGAGCGAAGAGCGTGCGTAGCAGCGTTAGTACGTACTATTTGTTAATTTTGTTTCTGTTAGTTTCTCGTTTTTTATGCAATCTGTTATGACATATCTTGTCCTGCCTCTGGCTTTTTGGATGTACCGAACTGATTGAAGAGTAGCATTCATTTTTCCTGAAGTAAGATAATCGATGCGTGGATCTCGCCTGAATTTCGACAGAATTGTTCGGAATCATGGAATTGGGAATTTCGCTGCGGCGCTCCAATCGTCTCGCCGAAATGGTAGAAGCAGTGTTAGCACGTGAAAGTAGATATAAAATAACTGGCTTCCGTGGAACGCCACCGCAGCGAGTTGAGAATTGTGTTTTGTTTGCGTTAGCTATCGTGACCCATGATTCAGCGGACCCAGCCAGTGACCATCGTCAGTCTCCGGAGTTCCCCGATCTAGCACCCCAGATCGCCGATCCCCAGCCAGCCCAGCGACAGCGTCTCCAACGCAAAACCACCGCACAGCAGCGTCACATGATCTACAGCATGTTCCAGCAGGGACTCAGCGCGCCAGCGATCGCTAAGCGCGCCGGCGTTACAAAATATGATGTCCAGCGGGACTTGTTGCTGGTCGGCAAAACATTCTCGCAGCGAGGTATCTCCATGATCCTGCCACACCATAGCCGAGCACACTAATCTTTAAGCCGTTCATGCATGCTTCCTGCTTGTAAGGTAGCAGGAAAGCCCATTCAAAGGTCACATCCGCACAACAGCAGTTGGTCATTCAGCTGTTTGACGAGAACATGGACATTGCAGACATCGGTCGCCGCGTCGGTATTAACGCTCGCACAGTCTCCCATCTTTTCAGCCCAGGCCATCGGTGTCTGGCTAGCGACGCTCAGCTGGTCTGTGCTAATTGCCGGTTTAGAAGCAGCCAGACGGTCAAGATGGTGCGCCACTGCCTGAAGCACGCGACTGGTTTCCGCCCCACCCAAATAAAGTGATTTTCCGGCCCGCGCTGAAGCGCTGAGTCTGAGTCTGAGTCTGACCCCTAAAAGGCTGAGTCTGACTACTGAAAGGCTGAGTCTGACTACTAAAAGGCTGAGTTTGACCATTAAAATGCTGAGTGTTCCTGAGACTGCTAAAGTAATATCTCGATAACTTTAACTCTTGTCCGGAAATATGCGCCATATGGTCCAGCGAATCCCCGTACTACATGCAACGCAAGTAATGTACAAGTACAACTGAAACATTTTAATCGGCAACAACCCATTCGGAATCAAATACGGGACGTGCACCGTTGGTTTTTACGACTATTAACTTGCAGCAACCCGAATGGGCTCCATATGAGATCAGTAACCCCTAAGCCCAAGCGTACGCATTTTTGCGTAGCGAACGTCACTGCCACTTTTAGGACAAAAAACAGATGTGCTGCTCTGATTACTTAGTCGAGTGGATTAATATTTTAATGAAATAATATTAATTACTTTGAATTAGTGATGCGATGCACTTGATCCCTGTTGTGCCCTTGGCGAGCACTGCGAACGCTGCGAATGAGGAAAAACGAGGTGGGATATACATGGAATTAGTGCCAATATTATATATCTGCTTTGCAGTCGGCTTGACACGTTTTGGTAATATGTAATGATGCCCATAGCAAACCCAGCACTGTTGGTTCCGTACGAACTTGAGTGTTTGGTGGTTGCTCATGATTAAATATAATGATTATTATATACCGCTCATTTTCTTTTTGGTCGTACAAATAAGCTTTATTACTAGTTGTTATTACCAATAATTCATTCATAGGACCACCCCGCGCTATTGTACGTCTACTAATCGTAGTACACAGTCATACAAATTGATACAATGAGGCTTGGGTTACGCTTATTAGAATACAGCTAGTTAATTTAGTTGTATGTTTTTCTGGTTCTCCTGGTTGCAGTATTCAACCAAGAATATTTAAAAATTTATTGTTGATAGCTTTTGTACTTACATTTCGGTATTACGTTCTTACAGTATTTGTTGCAGTACTTGGTAGTTGTAGTACGTACGTTATTATCCATACTACATTCCAGTATTCGCACATATTCGCAGGATTCGCCAAGTTCATGTTAAGGTTACAAGGTATCCAGGATATGATAACATTACAGTACTGTATACGTACAGTACTGTAAATACAGTACTGTATACATACGCAAAGCAAATACATAGTAGCCAGTGAGGCTGATCCGGTATGTATCGGAGCAGATACCAAAAGTGAAGAAAAAGTCACCGCCTACTCGAAGAACCAATCAGATTCGATAAATAGTTACTGTGGTGCCAAGTGAATTCCGCACCATTTCGTAAAGCGTGATACGCTAGAGCTGTATATGGGGTTCAGCCTTCGCTGAACGCGCTGAACAGCGTCTGGCTGCCAGTAGTAAAGGGCCGAGCGTTGCTCACTCTTGAAAAATCGTTCCTGCTTCAAAACGGCTCTCTGTCAAGACTTGATAGACTTGAATTTAATCAAAAAAACATTTTTACAATTTATGTTTACAAAACATGTGAACTGTATCACGTATTGTCTAGCTGCTGCTTCGAAAAGCTTTGTCGTACCCACACGTACTACTGAATGTGAATTTTTTCAAATTGCTTGTTCAGGCAGTTCATAAGCCTGCAGACAGTGAACCCGCTGAACGCTAGAGCCGCCCATACAGCGCTTGTCTCGCATGCTGTACGAAAAAGTGCGGAATTCACTTGGCACCACAGTATTTAAACCAGCGAATATGGAAAAATCAGACCTTGCATGTGTTTGAATAGGCTTACTTTTGGTTGACTTATAAAGCACCCTTGGCGAACGTTACGAATGCTGCGAATATGGGAAAATCAAAACCGGCATATCTACATTTTACAGTGACCTCAGCAGCCACCTTGGAGACTGTGCGTATGCTGCGAAGATGGAAAAATCATACCTGGCATACCTGAAGAGACTTCGACAGCAGCCTTGACGGACTATGCAGTTGCTGCAGAATTTTGATTAATTTAAGGTCTGACTGCCCAACTCATCTCAACAGTTCAACTCATCTAAAAAAACTCAATCCGTGCAACTGGCAAGCGCCAAAACTGCCGTCAGGCATTGACATTGTTGTTAATGGCTGAATATAAACTGAAAGACTCATTCACGCTACTGCCTGTTTACAGATAAAACCAGATTAGCTCTCAAGAGATGCACTGCAGCTAATGCAAGTTGTGTTTTAAAAAACGTAGAAAAAACGTAGAAAAAAACGCATTTTAAGCTATAGGAGTGAGCATACCAGTAATTTATGCACCAGGATTCGAAAGCGTATTGGTTACATGTTGTCGCTGTTCGATCATTATGATTCCGCAGCTCTCATCTGTTTATTTAAAGCATTGATTTTTCCTCTTCTGGATTACTGCAGTCCAGTGGTAAAACCTTTCCTTAAAACGCAAAGAGAAGATCTAGAGAGATCTGTTTTGAAATTTTTAAAAAGACTACGTCTGGGAAGCGCGCGTAATGATTACTGTGGCCGACTTCAAGAGGTAAACTGGGACTGCGTTGAGTTACGTCGGGTTAAAACCTCTTTGTTTGTTGCGTATAAGCTGTTATTCGGCATGATGCCCTTCGGCAACTCCTTTTTCACTAGTTATGAGTCAGTTACTGCCGCCAATACTATTGCAGGTAACACCCGAAATGCAGACCGGATGTCGCGCCATCCATTCCCGATTCAAGCTGCGAATACCACTTTTTGCGAAACCGAAGTGCTAGCCAGTGAAGACTCGTTCTCATGGAGGACTGCCAAAATCTGGAATGACCTCGATTTGGACGCATCATCCTATCGCTCACTACATGCGTTTCAGGCAGCTCTGGACAGCGTTTCATGGAAGGAAATCGCCTCTGTTAAA